AAACATACTTTTAGAAAAGAGAAAAAAAATTTCACTTGAATTTATGAAATAAATATAATAATTCTAATAAGTAACTATTTTTGTTTATATTTCAATTTAGAAGTTTGATGCCTTTGGTTTCAAGAGTTATTTTCTTGGCAGTTTCATCAACTTCTTGTTTGCTTCAGTTCTTCCAATTTTTTAACGTACAAGTCGAAAGCTGGATTTTTCGATTCGCCTTAAACGAGTATTAGACATATAAAAGCTGATTCTTATCCGTTTGAATTCCGTATCCACTTTCCAGAATATTAGTATCATATTTCAGCATATTTTGAAGAAAGGATATTTTGTCCTAACTAATATTTTTATTTATTTTTTTTTGGAGAAATTTTAAGCAAAGCAATCGCAACGCGCTTACATTCATAAAATAAAATTTAAATTGTACTGATCAAAATAAATATTAAATATATTATGAAAATATATTAAATGATTTCGCGGTTAATCCAGTCACATGCAGGCTTATTTCAAAGGTATGAAAGCAGGCGTTTCGAGAGTATGATATGGTTCGAGAGTACAAATATTTTACGCTAACGTGATTAACAAGTAATCAACGTGTTCCCTCATTTTTTATTGCGATTGCTTCGCTTAAAATTTAAATTTTTTAAGTTTATTAGTATTGATAAATTTAAATCGTAGAACCATTAAGTGAAATTAGGAATTCGAATGGCGAATCATGTGTTTAAAATTTCGATTTCGATTAACCATTGATTAAAGTCATTGTTATTCAATACGAAACTGATTTGTGCCATTTTTAATTTTCCTTCTGGTGCCATTCACTACTTCTGGTGTGCTCTCCAGAGAGAAATGCCCAATGGATCTCCTTGGATTTTGCTTTTAATGGCAGATGTCGAGGGTCAGAAATGTTTGGCTTTAGTCGAATTCACTTATTATAGTTCAGTAATGAATGGTTCAGTAATGAATGATATATTTTTCAATTACAACTTTTTTCTATAATCTCTGCCATTATTAATCATATTTTTTTGTGATATTCAAAGTAATAATTGTTACATTATTAATATTTAACAATGATTAAATTGCAATTGTTACATTATTAATATTTAATAATGATTAAATTATATTACTTTATTTGGAGAGATTATTATTAACGATTCGAAATTTATTTTTAATTCATTTATAGGACTGAATATAGAAATATTTTAAGAAGGAAATAAATGTCGCAATTCGGTAATTTTCATCCTCGTTTATTTGATACGAGCAAATTAAAAAAGAGAGAAGACGATTCATCAACTTCATCGACTGGTTGGTACTTTTTTTTCCAAATTTTTTCTCGAGATTTAAAATTTATCGTATTGAAATAATATTAGATAAAATTATTTAGAAAAATTTAATTTTCACTATCAAATTACTTTTCCAGTGGATAGATGAATCTCGAGTTTTGCCAGTGCGCGATTTTCTTAGATTAACTTAATCGAGCATTTGGTGAAATTTGGGGAATTCGCATATGATTTACAAAACGAAGGAAATAATTAGGAAATAATTCAGAATATTATTCATAACACGTAAAATCATCAAATGTTTCTTCTTCTTCTAACAACTCTCACTATTACTGGTTAGGCTGGCTCCACTGGCTACAAGAGTAAGACGTTTCCAAGAGGCGCGGTCTGATGCCATCGTCGACAGTTATAGATGTCATTCCTTTTTCCATCGTCTAAGTCCATATATCGCTGGTCCTTCTGTACGTTCAAAATCTTTCCTAACTGTATCAGTCCAGATCTTGATTGATCCTCCTCGCTTTTAATGCCAACCAGCACAGGGTTTAGTAAGTAACGAAATATGCGTCAACTGCTGTGGTGGACGACGGAGAACGTGCCCTAACCATTGAAGACGACGCTTTGTAATAGCATTATTAATGCAAATGGTATTTGAACGAAAATGGATACAACCATGTGCGATTTTATCCATTCGACGGATCCATAAAATGAACTTTAGACAAGAGTATTCAAAGGCAGATAATTTCTTAATTCTTCGCTGTCATTGGCCATATCTCGCAGCTATATAGCAAGATCGAACGAATCGCGGCTATATAGATGTGGACTTTCGTTTTTATGGTGATTTCACGATGGCTGCATAAAAGTTTCGTTATCGGAAAGAATTTCTAGAAAAAACTACCATTGTCCGGGTTGAAATTTCGTCTTTTACATGGCTATTTGGTATGAGAGTGGATCCAAAGTAAAATCGGATACTTCCTCAATCGGCAATGAATATTAAAAGAGGTATTTTTTTAGCTTCTTGTACATTAGAACGAAAAGACTTTTGTTTTATCTATATTAATGCTGAGTCCAATTCTCGCTGCAGTTGCTTGATTTTTGCTGATACTTTATTTATTTAGCATTATTTGCATTTTATCATAACTATCGGGCAAAAATACTACATCATCAGCGTATTCAAGATCTGTGATATGATGCTTTGGACTGATTTGTATACCTCTTGAATGCTGATAAGCGGTTTCCGTTATCCAGTATATTGCATAGTCGAATATTGTAGAGAAAAGGACACAATCTTGACGGACACCAGTTGTTATTTCGAAGGAATCTGTCAATTCCCCATATATACAGACTTGCGCCGACCTACGATCATAAAATGCCTTTATGAATCGAATGATCTTTGGAATACTGTCGAGTTCCATCATTCTCCAAAACGCCGCTCTATCAACTGAATCAGAGGCAGCCGCAAAGTCGATGAAATTCATGGCTGTGGGTTGCAAATATTTGAAGCGATGTTGCAACACTCTTCTTAACGTTAACACTATTAACTCTCTTCTGGTTAGCACAACCGCGCTCCGGTCTGAGTCCAGCTTGATTAGGGCGCATCCCATATTTCCATAAGTCTACTGAGTAAAAGGAAAGAAAAAATTTTCGTTGAAACGTCTAGTAAGCTGATTCCTCGATAATTGTCGCGGTATATCTTATCTTCTTGGGAATTAGGAACAGAATTGCTTTACTTCAATCATCTGGTAGTACTTCTTACTAGAGAGTATATTTGTTGAAGGTTGAAGGTGCGTTATGAAGGATGACGGACAGTATTTGAAAAGTTCAGCCGGCAAACCATCATCAGGAGGAGTCTTATTGGCTTTAAGCTTACAGATAATGGAGATTAGTTTTTCTTCTGTTGACGGCTCGCAGTTGCAAGCGTATGGGTTCGATGAACGTATGAGCTATCTGGGGAAGCATATGGCGCATTATGGTTAAGTTTTTGGCCTCAATGAATCTTCCTTCAGTCTTATGAGGCGATTAATATTTTTATCAGGATATCCATTGGTATCCATTAGCATTTCCCCGAGTTACAGTTGCATTATGAAGAAGGCGGATTTAATAATAGTAAATAATAGGGGATGATAGTTTCCTATTATCACTTAATTTTCCATTCTCAAGACCATATTGCTCCAATAGTAATTTCTATCCCACTGCTTTCCTTACACTTTTTTGAAGCATTATTCGGTCATCAGGATCACCTTACATTCATGCTTTGGCAGTTTTTTCAAATAGTTGGACAATTGCTTCCCAACTAGCACATTTCCTAGTTGTGTGCCTTGGTGTGGAAGTGGCTGACTTTTGGAGACATTCCTTTAGTTAGAATCAGTATTCATTTGCCGTTTTAGAGATATCATTGATGTTATTTCACTGAGATGTTTCAATAATACGGTTTGAAATGCGCTTATCATTCCCCGGATTTTTTAATTTGAAATAGTTTAAAAATCTTGGGATACGTTGTTCCTTACGACTTCTCAGTTTTATACGAATCTTGGCTCGAAACGTAATATGATCTGATCCATGGCGGTTGCCAGTCCAGTTTCAGCGCCCCGATAAGAATGATTATCAAGTAAAGAATTCTTCTAGCCGTAATTGACCAATATATAGTTCAATTTGATTGGAATATTGGTTGTCCGTTTTCCACGTGACTATATGTTTTCTCCGATGGCGAAAGCATGTATTAGTAACAAAGAGTTCATACTATTCAAAGGTGTTCTCCATTGGCACACTGGTCCCCGAACCACATTTGCCAATTACCGAATTCACCGTAACGGCATCATGACCTACGCTTCCATTCCAGATTATGATTATATCATGTTTCGGTAGAAACTTTGTTAGCAGCTGAAGTTCCGCATAGAACTTTATCATGGTCGTCTGCAGACAAAATAGGAGCATAGGCACTGATGACCTTCCAGAAATTAGCCTTAAAACGGGCATAGGCCATATGGTCATTTACTGGCTTCCATTCAGGTAGAGCGGACCGAGCCTTTTCACACATGACAATTGCAGGCCATTTCGCCCCGAGTTGTCCGAGACACCACAATAATATAGCCATTATGTTTAACAGTTACTGGAGACCTGAAATGAGGAAGACGGACCTCTAATAAGCAGGCAACATTCAGACGATATTTAGAAAGAGTGTGAACAGTGATCGCTTGGCTTGCAACTTATATATTATATTGTATATAATAGCATAAGTGAGGGAAAAAAAATTAAATTCAATAAGAGGAAAGAAAAGAAAAAAACTTATTGTTTGCGATGCCCAAACAAATAATCGATAATCAATATATCCAAAAGTAGTAGAGGAATTGGATGAATCGACCGCTCACCAACCGCTCACTAATAACAGTAATTTTTTTTTAATAAACTATTTTCTTCACAAAAAATGCAGTCGATATCATTATTACTAAATTTGTTAAATTATTACTAAAAAAAGCATTATGAGAAGATGTATATTATCACTTGGATATGCCACACATACCCTATATGAAGAGTCTTATTATTAAAGATGGAATTTTTTGTTTATTGGTCAAGCAGGAGGAGAAGAGCTATTTATTCGCGATTCTTTATATGACGCAAGAGGGTCCCTGTCAATTATAACTCTCGCGAAATTCAAAGAAAAGAATTTTCAAATTTTCAATGAAAAAAAAATTAGTCAAAATATATTTTTATTCATTTTTTTAATATTTAATGCTTTGTTTTGGTATATCTTTCATATATTTTCATATTAATATTTTGACAAAAAGAAATTAATAATTATAAAAAGGATTTATAAGAAAGGATTTTAGATTCATGGGTCGAACTTCCACCACCATCACGTGCTTCATCATGTAATAGTGATATGTCTGTACTTGATCAAGATTCAGTTAAAGATGGCCCAAGACTCGTTACGTTGGTTTTTTGAAGATTTTTTCAAGAACTTTTTTCCTTTCTTTTTTAAAATTTAGTAGGATATTTTATAGTCCATCAACAATGGCAACTCTTGGAAATGCACTTGAAAATCTCAAAATGTTGCCACAAAATAAAGGTGATTGGATTTTGGATTGGAGCAGTCATCCAGAAGCGCGAGAATCGCTTATCCAGTTTTTTTTAATCTCTTTTGTCGCTTCCTTAAATCATGAAGACTTAATTTTATTAACTTTTTCAAAATCATGCAAATCATGCTTCTTTTTATTTTGGAAATTCTTATTTTTCCAAGCAATTAAATTCATTAAATTATTTTTTTTCATTAATTTTTTGCTGTTAAAGGATGAAAAAAACTTTTCATTATTAATTTTCGTTAAATTTATTAAATTGGATTCAGTTTAGTTTCATCAAAAAATTAAGAAATTAATTTTAATTAATAAATTAATTTTAAATTATTTTTATTCAAAGATGTACACCAAATCAGTCAACTCCGCCAAATAGTCCAATACCGGGAGATATGAATTTTGTTGGTATTTTTTCATGTGGATGTAATACCGAAAATGACTATCCGCTCTTTGTTGGCTTTATTATCACTCATGTCATTTCTTTTTTTATTGGTTTAACTGCTGGGTTAGTTATTTTCTTCTTTTTTGCTTTTTTTTCATTTATTCAGAATGATAAAATATTTGATTGAAGGAACATTGTGTTGAATTTTGAATTGTTTCGTTAAATTTTTTAAATCTTTAAGTTTTAAATTTATTTAAATTTTGGATTCTTTTGTTAAAAAGTTATGTTATGTTTTGTTATGTTTTAAAACCATCCGAGCAATTTTGGAATTTTATTGATTTGGTTTTTAAAAATTAGAGTTTTCTAAAGTTCTTAGAGTTTTAGAGTTATCTAAAAGTTATTTAGAGTTATCTAGAGTTACCTAGAGTTGAAATTAGAGTTTCTTAAAGTTATTGTCGTTTTTGTTAAGATAATATTTCAAACATATATAATATTTAAATGTACCATATATTCAGCGATTGGTTTTCTTTTTCATTTTTGATTAGTCTAGCTCCGCTGCGTGTTAACACGATTTTATTTTTAAATTTTAAATATTAAAAAATATTTAAATAATAATATTAAATAATTTTATGAAGAATTAAGTAAAAAATTTATAAACAATTTAAGATTCTACATCTGCAAGAGAATGATGGCAGTTGTTTAACTAAAAATTGAAATAAAGTCGACAGTTGAAAATGCTTTTTGTATTCAGTCAGCCTCTTATCGCTTTCCATCCTTTCTTTGACTTTGTTTTTTTTCGCATACTAATCAGATTTATCTGGAATGTATCGACGCTATAATTATTGCTTAGTTCGAATCTTCTATTTTTTTCCTTTTTTTTCCTGGCTTGGAAGAATTGAATTTTGATGAAAAAATTAATGAAGCATGCATGAATTGTCACAACTGTGCAATTGTCAATCGGTGATGGATAATTATAGACATGATGAAATAGATCAGTGTTTGATGGAAAGACTAGAATTCATGGGGAAAATCTCAAAATTGACACTTGTTAAGCCCTTTTCTTTTTTTTTTCCTTCAACATTTAATCAGTCTCAGTAACAATATTCATAAAATGTTTGAGCCTTATTTATGGTACTCATATATACTCATATATCAAGCTTTGTTTAAACATTTCAAATTCATACTTATTCATTTATGTTCGAATTTATATTGGAACTAATCAATTAATTAAAAATTCCTAATTTGAAATGTTTTTACAATTTTTCGTCCATTATTTTCTCCATATGTATACACTTTAAATGAAATTTGATTGTGGTAGATAAATTTTAATTTACTATGTTTCAATGGTTAAAATGATGTTTACTCCAATTTTATAGTAATAATATTTATGTGTTAAACTCTTGCCTTATTCTATTAGGTTCAACGAATCACTTAAAATTATAAGTGAGCACTTGGATTTGTTAATGACAGGTTTATTCTTGTCGAAGGCATGAGGGAACCCTTGCCTTTTAGTACAGTAATTTGAGCCACTATTCACACGACTATCCTGACTACTTTCTTGGAACACTAGATTCTTGAATTCTTTAATATTATTCCATAAAAGTGTTGGTAGTTATTATATGGATAAATTTTCATGGGATGGGAAATTTTCACGCTTCGAAAAATTTTTCTTTTTTGGTGCACTTTAGATTTATAATTGTCACATTATATTCTACGAAATATGAAATATTTACGAAATATTTTTCTAAAATTATTGGCAGATTTCAAAAAATTTTTAAATCGAGAAAGCCGATTATTGAGAAACCACAGTATTTTAGGTTCAGAGTTAGTTCAACTGATTATTAGAATTTTATTATTAGATTATTATTAGAATTTTAAATCTAATAAATTTTTAAAAAATTCTAGATTTTAAATTCTTCGATAAAATAGAACAAATGGCTTGTATGATTAAAGATCGACTTTAATGTATGTTAATTTGATCATTCAGCACTGAAATGGCAACTGAATATGAAAGTAAAGGAAGTAAAACTGGCCAAATGGTAGGAAATCCTTCCGGCAAAACCAACTCATATTGTAAAAAAAAAAAAAATGAAATTTGCCACGAAATTCCTGTCATTGAATTAAATTTATTCCAAATTGAATGAATTCATTGAAAAATTTATAAACATTTAGGAATCACTTTTTAAGATTATGTCAAACGTTTTTGATCGAACAAACGTTCAATTTTCTTAGCTCGTAGGTCAAATAAGACATTAAGCAATAATGCAGTCAACAAAATGATTTCCTAATAATTATTAAAATAAAACGATAAATGAAGAAACAATCAAACACCTAAGATTGAAATATAAATAAATAAAAATAGTATCGAAACTAATAGTATTGAGAAACTATTTTTACATAAACCCGATGAAAATTCAATATGTACTGGGACAATGTTTCATTATAAAATATTTTTATATTTTTTAATTCAGTCATTATAACTCAATAATTTAAAAATATAACCTAAAGAAATAAATGGAAGTTTTGAATACAGCCAATATTTTTTTTGTTTTTGTAGGATAAGCTTAAGCTGAGCGCTTGGAATAAGCGATAGGTTTATGCGTTTAGATGATTCAGCACAGATTCAAAAAAAAAAGAAAAAAATGAAGATGAAAGATTGTAACGTAAATGCTAAAAAGCAATGAGAACGTGTTGTATATATATGTCATAATAAATACATTCATAAATAAAATAAGTAATAAATAAAATTTACCAAAAAGTGCTGGAAAATTAAATTTTGATTTAAATAATTTCAGATAAAAAAGTAAAAACTTTATCTATCCTAGATATAAATTTAGAAAGAGATATTTTATTATAGATATATATAAAATTCTTAATAAATCACAGTTTTATAGTTTTTTGAATAATTTCACCTTTGAAGTGAAATTTGTCAATTAAAAGGAAGGTGAAAATTATAATAAAAACTAATTAATAAAAAAATAAAGGCAAGATAAAATTAATGAAATTTTGAATTAATGAGCAGAATTGTTAAAAGGACAAACGTACGTAGCAGGGAACATCCCAGTTTTATTGTTCAACATACCTTCCCACCAATTATCATCTTCTCGATTGGTAACTGAAATTATTTACATATTTCAGTGGAACAGATCACAGGATAAATTACTTAATTACTTAATTTACTTAATTTTTTTACACTGGAATATTTTAATTTGCGAATTTCTATTCAATTTTTAGATTTTAATATTTAAATTCATAAAAAGAAATTCGAAAAAAAATCACCAGTTATAATATCACCACGTTTAAATGCCAATTCGCCTTCTTCTTGTGGTTTAAAATCAAACATTGCCTGAACCAGTGTAGTTTGCTGAGTTGTAACGGTATCCATATTTTGTAAAAGAATAGTATGAGAACGAGAAACAGAGGCTGATCTAGAATATTTAAAAATAATTAAAAGCACATAATGCAGAAAAATAAAAAATAATTGAAAAAACTTCTGCCGAACTATTTTCTTCAATTAAATTTTTTTTAAATGTAAAAAACAATACCTATGGTAATTGATCAGTTCGTTTAAACTGTTGAATTTAACGACCCACAAAAAATATTTCCCATTATTATCACGCAGCACTTTAAAATGCTGCACTGAATCTTGAAACCTTTAAAAATAACCAGCTAATGGCTCAAATTATTTTAAAAAAAAAGCAAATGAATGCAGTTATCAGATTATATCCACAATGAATGTCCACTATGTTCATAACGAAATATTTCAAGTCGAATTGTAAATTTCAATCAAAAATTGAATTTACAATTCGGCTTGCGCAAAAATTTACGAAATTTAAAATTTTCGTTATTTATTTCGTTATCACTTTCAAAATTTCGTAATTTTAATTTTCATTCGTGAAGATTAATTACCTTATAAATTTTGCTTATATAAATATATCAATGTTATCATATAACTTACCTAACTGATATGCTGAAATCTCCTGGAGAACTTTCTGATTGTCGCACTAAAAAAGCACCATCAGGATTGCCAGGCCTCAGTAACAACGACTCAGCATCGGCTCTACTAATCTTACCAAGATACCTGTTTCTTTATTTTTATTTAAAAAAGGATGCTTTCTCCAATTAGGCTTGAATAAAATATTGAAATTATGCTAAATTACAAAACTTTCACAAAAAAAGAAAGAAAATATAAAAAAAAATTTATAATCAATTGAATTAGAAGAAATTAAAAGAAAATGCTGTATTTATGACAAATTAAAAAAAAATTTTCTTGGAAGAATATTGAAAAACGAAATTCTTACCAGTCATGTTCACACATTTTAATATAATTGCTTGGCACGTAACCTTCATGACCATCCAGTTCAGCCTTATACCAGTGTGGATCTTCATCTTTATTCAGTATCTTCAAAACCACAGAATTTGGAAAAAAATTAAAATGTAAAGCGAATACCTATATTAATGCCTATAAAGCGAATACTACTAACTAATATTAAACAGGATTTTGAATGAAAACTTAAAAAACGAAAAAACCTTCAAAATTTGTGATTTACGAAAACTCAATTCATCTTCGGCAGTCGCATTAAAATCGTGCTCGGCAATAGCTTCCATTTCTTGAAAAAAATGACATTCATAAAATATCGTAAAAAGTAAAACAGAATCAGCTATTATCAGGCAATACAGAACCAGCGGCACTTTCCGAGCCGTCTCCACTTTATTATTAGAGTTATAAGAGATGATACTAAGGTAAAAGAGAGGCATCAGATATGCACCGTTTTATCATTAAAAAAACTAGAGAGAGTTAAGAAAGCAAAGGGGAAACGAATGCTTTCTCGCTGGCCATTTAATTGAAAAGTAAATCATCAAGGAAGAAAAGCACTACAAGAATATAACGAAAAATTAGAAATACAACCAAACATTAAAAATATGCAATCGAACATATCTAAACGAACACGAAATACCGCAAAAGGCAAAAATTATTGACAATCAATCAATTAAACTGACATTTTTTTAAACGAACAAACTAAAAATCTTTTTAAATTTTCAAAAAAATTCAAATACCGAAGTCGAAAATTCGCTTTAAGCTAACTAGTTTCGTTGAAAAAAATAGATTTAAAATGAACAGTAAAAAAAATTTCAAACGAATTTATCGAACTTTTGACAAAAATAAAAAACTTTGGCAAAAATTCACGAAAAACAACAAAGAAAAGCAGCTATTTAGTTACGAAAAATTATATGCAACCATGTTGTTTTGTTATTAATTTGAAATAACCAAGGAGGGCGACAAGTGTCCTACGCTCCCATAAATATTGGCAACAATAATTTATGACAAATAATAATTGATAATAACACTAATAAAAAAATATGAAATGGAAAGGAAAATTAATAACATCGAGAGAAATTAAATGTGACTAAAAGTTAACAACGTAAAAATAATGGAACAACAGACAAGAATGACATATCATGGAATTCAAAATACTTAAAAAAAGAAACTTAAAAGTCCCATTTTTGATAAAATTCCTTAAAAACTATATGTGATAATATTATTAACTATATTGCATAAGCGCAATTCTGCGAATTTTAGAAATATTTTACTCCAATAAAGGCGCACAGAGAGCTTCGTTAAGGAGTTTCAATTCTAGTAGTTTAATTCTTACAAAATAGATAAAAATTAAATACTTCTTTCTAGGGATGTATCGATGGAAGCCTTGGCTCACTAAAAACTGCAGCCAAAAACCGAAGGCTTCGAAAAATATGAGGCAATTTTTGCATTAATTTCCCTTAATTGGCAAAGTGATTTGTAAATAAATAATGAAGTTTAGTTGGTCAATATCAATCTATCAATGGAGATCGACAAGAAATAACACAGAAACGCGGAAGGTTTAAACATTTGTACAATTGTCCTGCACTTGTTTGACTTATCGATGCATAGGTGGCTTGGTAAAAAGATGGCAGCGTAACCAGAATCGAGAACAACTCAGGTTTAAATTTTGTCGATAGCCGAACGACAAAATCAAAGTGACGAAGAATGGATTCCATCATTAATGCTGGGGCTCTACTCCCGGCAGAAGCTTCAAATCTGCTTCAAAAATCCTAGTGATACTGGCGCCTCACCTATACTTTCATTGCCAACTAATTGCCCGATTTGCTCGATTCGACAAAACGATGTAAGCCTAACACTCTCGAAGCACTCTCGAAAAAACCTGCATTTTATAAGGGATTAAGGAAATATAAGTATATACACCGTTTGTGCATCATTTCTGATTAGTTTGCGCTATGCTTCGCACAATTAGACAATTTAGCCAATAGTCATTTGGAAAGAGAGGTACCAGGAAGTACTGACTCGCCTCCCCTCGCGCCACTCAAATTGTGCCCAACAAGGCAGATTTCTTTAATGCATCTTCACGAGATTTAGCCCTTCGATGTTTTTTCTAAATTATTTTTTTAGTAAATCGGCAGGGAGTTTCTTGTGTCGGCTTCCCTAAAACTACTCAAAGAATCGCACGGTAAATGCAACGCAACGCAAGAATCGTTTCAAGATGGGATCGCCGACTGCATTCTTGTTTTTGGAATTCAATTTTCACGTTGCATTTCGATGAAATCGGCACTATTTTTTGCTGAAAATCCAAAACAGCAGATGCTTTCCAAATCATTTCGGCAGAAAAAATACTTTTGAAGAAATTATGCATCATATGAAAATTCGATTATTTCGTTTGTTTTCCTAGCTATTCAGCGAGTATAAACTGCAAGTTTTCAGTGGATGGCGAGATTAACTCATTCAGTCAACGATTCATTTCAAGGCAACCCACTGCCGTGGAATTAAATTATTTCCCGTTATGCTATAACCGCGATTTAGTCATTTTGTTCCCAATAATTCAAAAATTTATGCCAAGAAAGACTGCTTTGCTAAAGATTCACCACGACTGAAGATTTATCAGTTATCAAAAACAGCATTGAAAAACCCTTTCGGCTTCAAAAAAGAGAATCGATTCAGTTTTCGTGAATGACAAAAAGAGTGGACTTTCATTCATTCATGAATGAGGTAACTATTAAACGAGAGGATATTTAACTTAAAATAATATTCGATATCTAGTAATATACTTGACAATGTACAACACTTGTGGCATCTGAGCAATTTCTCACCAAAGCACGAGCTACACAACTCACAGAGGTCACCTCGAGTGCCCAAAAATTTAAAATTTTGATTTCTCTAAGATCAGATAAAATTTTATCTAAAACTTTGTTTTTACTGTTTTTAATAAAATCATCGGACTTCGCCTTCGTTCTTCCATATTTTTTAGTTCGAGGAATAGAATTTATCCTTCGGTACACTTCTTTTAAATTCTCTATTTCTATTTAAGAAATGATTTATTTTAATGCACAAAAATGAAAACCGAGTGCTGCTTAGATTATTTCGAGGTTTGTGCTCTGTTCTTATCAAATGCAATACGGCTTCGAACTCGTACAGCAATGAAATTTGTGCTCTCGTTCCTTTCTTCACTTCCTATTGAAAGTTTAGAATTGGATACCGTACCGTACCGAAATCGTATTTAATCAGCTGAAAAATCTAAGCAGCACTGGTAAGTCACCGGTACTTTTATATTATATATAAATGCCTAGCAGATTAAAATACCTGAAAGCTGCCTATAAATCATTATATGCCACAATACGACTTAAATATAGATATGTGCTTAACTGATATTTTGAACAGTTTTTATGGAAAAAATAAAGCAATAAGAAGTATAAAAACAAAGTGCACAACCTATATTTCTTTAGAAAATCAATATCAAAACAATTAAATATCGTATTTTGGCTTAGATGGAAGTAGGTATGTGACCAGCACTCACAATTTCTGATTAGGCTTGCTTTTATCGTCTTGAAAAACCCTTCCAGAGAGTCACATAAGGAGAGATGAATCGCCAGCACCAGCCGGATCCTTCAACGACAGGTTAGCAAACGTCGGCGAGAGCCTCGCCTTCGACACGAATATGCCGAAACGCCGACGCGCCCTCTCTAAGATTGTATCGCCGCAGAAGAAGCAGCGGAGCGAGTCGACACGAAATGCCGAACATCCTTCGAGAAAAAACAGACGAATGCGGCAACGCGTTCCAGCGCGTTCCACGTACTTTTTTAAAGGATGTTTTGAGCGTTGAACGCGCTTTTCGGAGATTTTTCGATTTTTTAAAAGATTTTAAATGGATTTCTTTCAAAATCTTTCATCTCAATCAACGCACTTTTCCGGAAAATTTCCGACAAACTTCGACAAACAACGGAATTCTCAACGAAATTGGCTAAATTCGCGCTAAGTTAAAACACATCGATCGACCTGTGCATTACATTTCATTCCATTTAAGACCTGCAGAATATTTTTGGAGACCGATAATTAGAAACTCCGAAATTGACCAGCAGCCGCTGAAGCTGACGCTTAGCGAAAGTGCGTTATTGCGCGGACGCAATCTATTACGTTCTTTTGTTGTTTTTGCACTTAATTTTGAAAACGGGACGATTTATTTACGGTTTACGTCTATTTTCGTTTTCTGTTTATATTTAAGTATTTTCGCAATAAGTTCGAATAAGTAATTTTAAATAAATTAAAGAATATTTTTAAATAAATTAAAATTCTATAAAGAAAATTTTCACGAAAATATTTTTTGCTTTTGCATTTTTCGACGTAAGGCGGCGACTTTTTCTTCGTCACAATTTTTTTCAGTTTCCCTTTCGTCACCTCTTTTTTTGAGAGTCCTCACTATTACTGGTTAGACTCGCTTCACTGGATTGTCGCATTTGGCAATATGCCAAGGAGTCCCTTAGCGATAGAAATACAGGTGAGTCGCCAGCATCAGTCGGATTATTGTACAGGCTTACTCCTGCGGGGAATCGAACCTCAGCATCGGGAAACAACAACCCACTGAGCTCTTCTATCCCCTCATCACCTCTAATTCCTTGGGTATAATTTGGTTATGAAAATATGCACCTTTTCCTGTCGTTATGTCATTTGTCCACGTCATCATTCTAATACTAGCCACCATTTTGCTTTAGCTTACTTCGTTGGCTATTTAAAATCTCTTCGCCACTTGCAGTAAGAATGCCATCACAATTCGTCGCCTTCGCTGGTTAGAGCATGCTCAAGGAGTTGACATATTTCACTATTTGCTAAACTCTGTGATGGATGGTGTCAAAAGTGAAGAGAGCTAATCAAGACTTTGACTGATATAACCAGGAAAGATTTTGAATATTTAAGTGGACCAGTGATACATGGATTTAGATATCGGATCGAATATTTTGAAAGCGTCTTATTCTTATACTCAATGGAGCCAGTCTAACCATTAATGGTGAGAACTGTTAGAAGAAGAATTCTATCAAAAAAAAGAGATCATCTTCAAGAGAATTCGGAATTTTCGGTTATAACAGCGTTCTTCTTCCAGTGAATATTTTTTCCAGAAAAAAAAATGATAACAATTAGATAAAATTTTGTAAATACTTTATCAATGGAATGAAAAGTTTAACCTGGAAGTGGATGACCAAATAATATATTCGGCTGTCTTTTTTAATAGGACATAAGCAATATTTGAGTGATCCTACTGACCCAATTATTTATCTAAGGCAAGTGACTGTCTGGCGAAAGCGACTCATCTTTTTAGTTAGTTAAGGCAGCCACATCAGAAATTAGAAATGAAAAGGTTATAAGAAATGGGGAAATATAAATTAATTTCTGTAGGCTTTTCAGCAAATCATGGAAATTTTTCTTCAATTTAATTAGTATTTTAAAATTCTAATTAGTAAAATCATTTAGAATTGAATTCAATTCCTTTTATGGAATATGGAAAATGGAATTGAACGAAGAGAATACATCAGCTGATTCAAGAAGTTCAAGCGTATTCGATGAAGTAATTACGAAAAATTCGGAAGAAAACGTATCGCTTTCGCCGAAATCTGAAAAATATCGAATAAAAAAATTTTATTTGCAGAAAAAATGTGATGATATACAAAAAGTAAGTGATTTTTATTTTTTTAAACATTATATTGTTGATTTAATTAACAAATAAATCCAGATCATTTCTCCTTTTTTTCTTCTGACAATTTGTTTAAAACTGTGGATCGACTCTTGAAGAACTTGAACTTAAGGGTTTAAATGAAAAATATTTCGATACTTAATACTTTCCATCATTGTATGACAACTCCGATATGTTTCTGTCCTTTTCATTTCTTTCCATTCATCTTTCCTTTTTCTTTTAATATTTATGGCATTCTTATAATTATTCTTCATAGCCCTATTTTTATCCATTGCGATGCTATTCCCTCTAAATTTTCGCTCCTCATTTCCGAATGTCATTTGTAATTAGAAACAGTCGTAGTGCTGTTGTGAATATAAAATATAAGCGAATTTTTTTGAGTTGAGCTCTTTGAAATTCATTCACGGATTCACGGATGTCTTTGAGCTATGGATTTAAAATTAACCTAGAATTAGTAATTTCTAAGCACTAGAAAAATTCGCTCATTTTCTTTTATTCCACTGCTATAACCATTCTTAAATACATATGCGGCTACAAAAATAATGTTTTCTTGTATATTTTTCATATAAGAATTAGGATCAATTTAGGTATCAGCTCGCCTTCTCAATCGGATTTATCGTATAAGAAAAGAAATTAGCTATTTAAGAGCTCAGAAAAGGTTTGCATTTGTTATTTTCCTTAATTTTTATTTTTTCTTTTCCGTTAATTTTCATTGTAAGGTTTAATTTTTATTTCATAAAGAATTGTTCAAAAAAAAACGCTTCATATCAATATTATTATTTTGTTATTATTATTCATGAATAATAATATTATTATTCATTATTATTTTGTCAATTTTAGAATGTTGTGTCAACAGTTAACAACAATTATGGATAATTACAGTGAATTATCTTTGGATATTCCGGAATCAGAACCTTGTTTAACGGGTATGGAATTGTTTAGCGATGAAGCTAGCCTAAGTATATTGATACCGAAGAAACGAAAATTTGCTGAAGCAAAACTTTCCGCGGTTTATTTTTTTCTAAAAATTTTATTATCCTGTTACGATTCCATCTTTCTTATAAACATTTTTTTTATTAAATATTATTTTAAAAAATATTTTATTAAATTGAGTTAGAAATTGAAATAGAAGAAATTTTTGAATTTTTAAATTAAGCACGTTTTCTATCTTTTGAAAGTTTTAAATACACTTTTTAAAATTTTAAAGGCTAGTGATTTCTCAACAATGGAAGAAAATGCTAGGAAAAGTATTATATCGATAATTGACTCAGTAATTACTGAATCACATGAAGAACGAATGAGAGCTGAAGCTTCAAATGATGTTCATATGGGCAATAGTAATAATCCTTCAACTGAAAATTTTAACGTTGAAAGTAGTACCAATGCAAAGAATGATAATTGTGTGGTAAGTCGAATTTTTTCGAATTTGAGATTTTAGATTTTAGATTTTACTTGCGAAGATGATAAATCAGATTGATTTATTAAGTTTATTATTCTGAATGATTTCTAATATTTTTTAAAAAAATTATAAAAAAGCTTTAATATAAATTATAGAAAATTACATAGAAAAATTGTAAAAAAGAGATTTTAGACCGATGTGGATGGGCAATCAATGGTTGATAGAATGTTACGTGCATCGTCAATTGATCATTTATTACCTATAGAGCCGGAAAACTGTCGGTCTGATAATAAACTAACTGTTTCGAGCAATTATTCAAATAATAATACGTTTTCTAATAAATGATTCATTTTTTTTCAAGTTAAATAATCATGCATGTACTATATTAATAATCTAAAAAGGCAAAAATAGTAATTTATGGATCATATTGAATATTCCGAAAAAAAATTTTTCTAATCAATTTTATAATTTTTTTTATACGAATATTTTTCGGTCTCTGAAGTACAGTTGAAAAGAATTTTTAAAATATTCTGCTGTGTTGTTTTTGCCTTGTTTCTAGCATCTTTGGCCAAATTTCATTAAAATTTCTAGAAATTCTTTGGAATTATTTCGGAAAAACGTTATCTTTCAACGAAAATATTTGACAATTTACCTTTAGCTGTAAAAATTGCATAAATCTATAGATTCCTAACCACTGTCATCATGACGGATTAGGCTGATTCCACTGGCTATTTGAGTAAAATATTTTCAAACTATTCGATCGATTCTATCTCCAACAATAACAATAGAAGACCTTCCTTTTTCCATCGTCTAAGTCCATATTTTACCGATCCACTATATACCTTCAAAGCCTTTCCTGACCGTATCAATCCAGGTCTTGATTGGCCCACCTCGATTTTGGCGCCAGCCATCATAGGGTTTGACAAATAATGAAATATGTGCCCAAAGAATGTGCCTTAACTAGGGAAGACAGTTTTCTTTTATATTAGTATTAATGCAGGTGGTATTTGAGCTGAAGTAAATACAGTGAGATTTTATCCGGCTTAGACATTGAGTAATCGAGGGAAGATAATATCCTCCACTGTCATTGGCCATGTATAGCAGCAATATAACAATATCGAGCAAATTACAGCTGTTAGACGTGGACTTTCGTTATGATTTCGCGATGGCTTCACAAACGTTTCGCCAGCAGGGAAAATATATTCCTAGCTACCGTTATCCGAGTTGTAATTTTATTTTTTTGCTTGGCGTTTGTGTTTAAAGTTGGGGTTGGGTCAAGATATTTAAAGTCTAGCATTTCCTCAACCGGTGGTGAATTGATAAAAATAGATATTTTATCGGCTTCTTATATATATAACGAACAGACTTTTATTTTCCGACTTTTACTTTCACTTTGCTTTTATTTTACTTTTATTTTAAAGACTTTTATTTTACTTTTATTTTCCTGCAGTTGTCGACACTTGTAATACTGTGTAACATTATTTCCTTTTTGTTATAATTGTCAACAAATATATCATCATCGCATTCTGTCGTATTCTCTAGCATGATTTTGATGCCTCTTAAATGGGAAATGGCATCCATAAACCAATCGCATATTTGAATATTGTAAAGAAAAGGAGCCTTGACGAACATCAATTATTTCGAACGAGTCTCAGTTCCCCATATACACAGATGTTCCTGTAGATGGTGCCAGCTATTTAGTTGTGCCTTTCAGTGCATGTTGTTCCTGCTTGCATGTTTTACATCTTGCCGCTATGTATTGGACTGTTTGTGGTAGTCAGAGTCCTGTATAGTGTAGTAGATGCTCGTTTCAATGGATCTTATGTTTAGTGCTTATTCCTACGTTGCTATAATCACTGCATCTTTAATCACTGTATTACCTTTAATCGGGCTTTCTCTATCTACTAATATTTATCAGTATCAGCTATCAGCTATCTATCGATGGTGCATTCCATAGATTTTGCTTTGCCATGGTATTTCTCTGCTTGATCGTTTTCTAATGTTTGTATATGCTTTAGACATTCTCTTAGCAATTCATCCTTTGATGGTATTTATTTATTGAAAACTTGAAAACCAGCTAAGCAGGGCGACAACGCCATGTGCTTGTATTCATAACAACAGTTTAAAAAAAAAACATAAAAAAAGAAATATTAAAATTAGTAATAAGAAAAATAGAAAATATTACAGAAATTAACAATTGAAAGAGGAAATAAAGAGTAAATTGCAGAATAATATAATATAGTACAATTCGAAATAACTGTATTATATTTAATCGGATGGTAAAAATCGAGATTTTGCAGACTTCCTGCATGATGTGAACTTTTTAAATAATATTAACCAATGATGTTATCCAATTCTTTTTTAAAGATAGCTAAGGATGACTCACAAATTTTATCGTTCAGCAATTTATTTCAGTAATCCTATCTTGCTGATTTTGTTGATATATGCTCCAAGTTTCGTTCAACATAGTTGCTTTCACTCTCACCAAGCCCCACCCGTCTTCTTTCCGGCTGCTATATAGCCTTTGGGTATTAGGCTTAGGGTGAAAATTTCAGTGCATTGTGAAGAGTTTCCTGGTCTTCATAACAACAGTCCCCGTGCCTTCATTTGTCCACCTTTTAATGCCAGGTGCGTATCCAATGACTGAGCAGGGCATACATATTTATGACATGGTTCATGGATTTTCATTTTCCCTTTGACCTGTCTTTTCAAGATTCGTCTTGTCCTTTGGTGATTACTTAGATGTTGCAGTCTTCCTTACCTCCTCATGTGACTGTGGGATGCAAAGTAGTTATAGTTAGCATAGTATATCCTGATGGTAGATCGACTGCATTAATCATTACTATTTCCTTTCTCTTTACTACTTTTCAGACTATATTTCTATAATCCACTATCCCAATGTCCTTGCTGCATATCCAAGTTGGATGGGCGAGCGAGTCAAAATTTCGTTCACTTTTTTCATAACTTGGTGTTATTCATGTAAAAAAAATGGCTGATAGTCCAGCTCTATATCCATATCTGATTCTGGTGGTTATCTGACTGATAATGTTCAGATCTATGGCAAACAATAAGGGAAACAATAGATCACCTTGGTATATGGCGCACTTGAAAATTATTTGTGCAGATGTTTCGAGTTTATTTCAAATATTTTTCCATAGTCCCATTGAGTTCTCAATGAACATCTTTAGGGTCCACTTGATTTCGTATAGAGCCAGACATATATGGGCTTAGAGTCGTAGGCTTTCCTATAGTCAATCCAAACTATATACAGATTGGTCTGCCGGGTCTAAAGCGACTGCTTTATCTATGAGCAGCTGGTGTTTGGAGCCTCTGGTGTTACCCCCAGTGCCTTCTTGAACTGCACTGATATTCTGGCTCATGTGACCATGAAGCTTGATGGTTGTGGGCCTTTCATTGTCAATATAGTCCTTCGTTATGTTAATTAGGTTGGATAAGAGTCAGTCGTCTCCGGATCGGGTGTCCAATTTTCATATTTTTGAGTCGTTGTTGGATATCAGCATCTATGATGGTAGCTAATTCTCAGATTTTGCATTTTACATTTTGTATTTTATCATGAATCTTTTGTTTCTCCCATATGTTCTTCCAGTATTATATAATTTCTGCTGTTGGTGGCTGTGTTATTACCATATTACCGTATTATTACAGTAAAGTTTAGAATATATCTTGGACTGTTCCTTCGTAATTGGTTAAAAAAGTTTTATGAGTTAGTAGAAATTTTTATTTTTTAAAAAGCCTTTTCAAAAAGCTCCACTGATTTCTCAGTTTTTTTTCCCAATTAATATTTAGCGAGGGGAAAGAAGTGATAATCTTATATGATAATAATATATAATCTTATCTTATATGATTTATAGTAAGTATTTTTTATTGCCTACATTTTTAATGGTGTTAGGCGTAAAATTTTCTGAAATTTTTTCAAGCGTTAGAAATATGATGCGAATTGTTGTATTACCTGCATTATCCGATAATTATATGTATTTACTTATCGACAATACGACGAAACAAGCGGCAATTGTTGATCCTGTCGATGTGACGAAGGTTTTTTTCATGTTTAAGAAAGTAAAAACAGGAAGAATAGTTGGCGCCACCATTTTGGTTTGCTGGCTGTACGGGATAATAATACGATGTTTTTGCTAGGGAGTAGAGAGAGTAGACGACGAAGAGTCGCCAGCACCGCCCACATTTGTGGAAGATGGGTTCACTCCATAAATGGAACTTAAGAATCGGTGCTCCAAAAAACCAATTGGGCCATTTTATTTTCTCTATATAAAGTACAGGTTTTTCTCAGTGGAGCCATCTCTGAAAAATGTTTGGCGAAACTTCATTTTCATTTTTGAAAGAATTAAAAAATTTTTTTATTAAATATTTAAAAACTTGTAGATTACTAAAGCAGTGGAATCGGAAGGAGTCAAGCTTTGTTCAGCTCTCGTCACTCATCATCATTAGTGCTTTTTCTTTTCAATTTTAATTTTTAATGCTAAAAATGTTATTGTTAACAAAAATGTTTCATATTTTTCGGTGAAAGCGGCAGTAATTGTTCCTATTCGTTGGTGTACAGTAACCTGACAATTATTTAGCGATCATGCTGGTGGTACGAGAGAACTTTTTGATACCTACAAAGGTCAAATTTCGATTTACGGATTTGATGAACGGATTAACAAGCTTACCAATAAAGTTGCTGATGGCGATAAACTCACTGTAATTTTTCCAGTCGCATTTCTTGCACTTGCCAGTGCTGGCGTTTGCGCAAAATAGGGAGGAATGTTTTTATTTTGGTTCAAATATTACCAATGTCGCTGAATTTGATGCAGCGGATGGTTGTAGAGTTTGGATAGATCTGACATTAGTAAATACTTCTTTAAAAGGCATTAAATATTTGGAATTGGATTTCTCGAATCAAATTTAATGGTTTAATATTTGATTTTTTTCCTATCACCCTGCGTCATATTGGTGACATTCAGCGATATTAATTGGTTGTTTTTGTTAATCAGATATTAATCAGATATTACGATAGAAATCTCAGTTATTTGGAACATAGGTTTGCCAACTATATGTATATGGTGCACATCCTCAGCTAATCGTATCACTATTGCGAAGGGCCAGAAATATTTTCTCAGTTTTTACCAGCAGTCAGTTTTTTCAGGTAGGTAATTTGAAAATCGAATGCATTCATACGCCGTGTCATACTTCCGGGCATATTTGCTATTACACTGTTGATGATAACAATCAAAAAGCTGTTTTTACAGGAGATACACTCTTTATTGGAGGTTTGCTAAAACCCTTATTTTTAACCGAATTTATCCGGAGTTCTCAGCCCACTTCTATAAATTTCTAATTTTAACCTAGATTTTGATAAATAATTTTTGAATGAATAGGTTGTGGACGATTTTTTGAAGGCACGGCACAGCAAATGTATGATGCATTATGCGTTAAATTGGCCAAATTACCTGATGAAACGGTTTGTTTTTGCTTCATTAAAGGTTACTCTACCATCTACGTTATTCGAAAATATTTATTTTACTAGAAAAAATATTTTTCTCATTATTTTCTCAATCGAAAATGAGCGATTCTTCTATCTTCGAACTTTCCATTCATCTTTATTTCTATTAATTGTATTAATTTTAGTAATTGTAATCATAATTGAACAATGAGAATTTTTTTTTAGGAAGTTTATTGCGGACACGAATACACAACTTCCAATTTGCTTTTTGCACGTAGCGTCGAGAAAAATAATAAAAAGATAGAAGAAAAACTAAAATGGTCGAAGATGAAAGATAATTCGAAAGAATTTACAGTACCATCAACAATTGGAGATGAAAAAATTTTCAACCCATTTATGCGAGTCTCGTGAGCTTTTTTTACTTTTCTTCTGAATTTTGGTCAGTTTTATCCAAATAAATGTTTCAATACTTCACAGGGTAAGCGACGATCTAAAGGCATTGACAAATGAGAATAACCCGGTGAGAATTATGTCCCTCATACGGGAAATGAAGAACAATTTTAAACCATGAACGATTTGAATCCGAATCTCTTTTCGCCTTTCAGCTGCGTTCACCGATTGTTTATCCATTTCGCTTATCATTTTAATTTGTCTTTTACTCATGCTGTTTAAACGATAAAATATCCAAGAAAATTAGCATCTGTGCTATATTCCTGAACAACTTCGAAAAAAAAATTTATCTTTAAAATAAACCACGCTAAAACATAATTGGAACATCTTTATTGACAATTTTGCAGCATTTTATCTCCTTGAACTCGACAAAATATTTTATTCGCTTAATTTCAGTGAGGCAGTGAATATTTTGTCGTAAATAAATCAGCAAAAAAAGATATATATGAGAAGGGAAATTTGAGCTAAGGTCGTTTTTTTCTACAGTTCGATAATGGAATGAAAAAAACGATACTTTGCAAGGATAAAGGAATAAAGGGGAGACCTTAAAAAAATGAAAATGACTCTTGAAACATATTTATCTAAGACTGGGAAAAATTTGAGGTATAGTCAAGGAATTTAAAATGAAATTACAAGCACAATCACAATACAAATATTAGTACAAGGACGAATCCAGCGGGGGATTAAAGAAGAAAGGTCAAATGTGATCGACGAATCGTGAAAGGCTAAAAACAAAGAAAATCGCTCGCCCAACCCACAGAAAACAAAATCGAAAAAGAAAAAAGCCAAAAAACGAATGAACCAAAAAAACCTCTGAATCTCATTTTATTTTATCAATTCCTAGCAACTCGCGATTCATCAAAATCAGTGCGAAAAGAAAATCATTAATAACGAAATAAAAAAATTTAAAAAATGGAAGTTGGCTCGCTTACGCACGTTCACCTCTAATGCGGCGAGCTAACTGAATATCCTTTGGCATGATGGTGACACGTTTTGCATGAATAGCACACAGATTCGTATCTTCAAAAAGCCCAACAAGATAAGCTTCACTCGCCTCCTAAAAACCAAAAAAAATCACTGAAATCCTCGAAATTAAACAACGCATCACTTTATCAAGTTCACTTACTATTTCCTTTTGAATTAGAGAAAAATAACGAAAGGTACTCGTTCTTAATTAAAAGAATTTCATATTTTCGATGAAAGAATTTTTTATTAAAGTTATCTCGCTTACGCAGTCTGCCAAGAAATATAATTTCACCTGCAAAGCACCAATAGCGGCCGACTGAAAGCGGAGATCAGTTTTGAAATCTTGCGCAATCTCACGTACTAAACGCTGGAACGGCAATTTACGAATAAGCAATTCGGTCGATTTCTGATAACGTCGAATTTCACGCAAAGCAACAGTACCTGGACGATAACGATGGGGTTTCTTAACACCACCAGTCGATGGAGCTGATTTCCGTGCTGCCTTTAATTTCGATTATTATATTATTTCATTGCCAAAAAATCTCATTCCAACGGCAAACAAACACCTTTCGTTCAGGGTTACCATCTTACACATTAACTTAATTAACTTATCAATGAAACAAAAGAGCCTGGCCAAATTAAAGAGATGAAAAAAAGCATGAAAGCTTGATATCTACCAGTGCAACTGTGTAACCAAACCATATTTTTACTAAAAATTAACGAATTATACAAATGGACAACCAAAAAAAGAAACCTTGGTCGCAAGTTGTTTCCTGGGTGCTTTTCCACCGGTTGATTTTCTCGCTGTTTGTTTCGTACGAGCCATTAATCTTGTTTTATTTTTCAAAAATTATTTTATCGAATAATTCACTTCAGTTACCTATTAACAAATTTTTATCACCGTATTGATAATCGCAGTATTTAATAAAATTAACAGGTAACGACCATTAAAATATTTAATGAATATATTTCATACAAAAATTCAAAATCTTTAGTGAAAGAAGGTTGAAGATTTGTTTCATAGCAACAAAAAGAACTATAAACCGCGAAAAACTCCCATCTTTCCACGAATATGCTATTAAATAATGATCATAACCGATTAACTACAAAGTTCAGAGGTCACTCGGCAGAGAACAAACACAAATAAAGGAATCGGGTTCGTCAGAAATGAATAACAATAAGGAAAAATCAATAAAAGGAAAAAATGAAGGTCACGCAAGATAACGAAGGATCAGATGAAAATAATCAGAGGCCCAAAAACAAATGACTGCAACTGCATTGGATCGCATGAATTTTAGAAGCGACAAGCATTGCAAGTTATTTTCTATGCATTGCTTTCATATCGCAGTAGTTTACGGTAATAAATCTCAATCTTCGATGTCTTCTTTGCAAAAATCAATAAAAACAATCGATAACACAACGAAATTTATGTCAAAATTTCAGACCTTTGTTGGTTATTCCCTTCCTCACCGGTCCCTTTTCCCCTCTTTCTCTTCCAATTATTTCCACAAAATTATTCCCAAATGCTAAATTCTCATTTCCATTGCTTTCCCTCCACCTATATCTTTTCCCTTATTTATCGTTTTATTTATCAAATAAAACCAACAATTCAGTAATGGAAATACCAAATTCAGATTTAAGAAAATATTCCTCGTTCCCACCTCTCAATAAACGGAAGCAGATCAGCTTGAAATTGACAGCTGCGACCCCCCGGTACTACTCAACTAGAAAGTAAGTTGTTCCATATTACTATACCAAGAAAGAAAAAAAATGGACGAGTGCCCAGTGATACACGACCGCCGCGTACGCATCAACATTTCCCATACGTTTTGCTCGAAATTCTCCATCCGCGTCGCGTATCAAATTAACATTTAGAAGAAACAACGGAAGGTCGATATAGAGAAAACTATAAGCAGAAACAAAACCTGGCAAAGTACCGCCACCGCTAGAAGCCTCGAAGGGTGTTTAATGAGAGAAACCGCAACGACTCCGAAAATCTCGTACATCTTCTCTTCCTCGCTCCACCCTCACCTCTCCCCTCCACTTCGCCAGTGCCCTCCCCCTCCCTTGACCACCAGATGTACATCTCGACCTTCCCACATCCCCTCCTCCCCACCAACCGATCATGTCCTCACCAACCCCCTCCTCCCCACCAACCGACTCCGCACCAACCGACCATCTTCGGATGATTCAATAAATCCAAATGAGCCCCAGTCGAACTCAAAAAATTCTTTATTTTTATTTTTCTTCTTTTTACGATAAATTAATCCTTTCATATTTCATTTTCACTGAAGAATATTCTCAAAGTTTAAAATTTTTCTATTTTCATTAATTCTCCCAAAATTTTGTTATATTTTCAGTCTAATTTTTGAATAATTTATGCGAAACTAATCAATAAAGCTGAATATTACTGAAAAATAAGAGGGACAGAGAGATCATTCAATATTTTTGTTTGGCGAAATATTGTTTTCTTATTGACAACGAGAGTAATAAACATAATATTCAAACTGTCAAATAAGTGGAAGCCACGCCCTCTGCCACTTTAATGGAAAAGTTCTATTGTCGACGATTGATATACGGAGCCGATGACTTATCGCCCACAATAAATCGACATGCTCTTCACGCATTATTGATTTGGCAGCCTGTGAGTGTTATGATGAAGGGCCATCAGGAGAAGTCCTCGACAACATTCATTTACAATGATTTCAATTCAAATAGTGACCGCTCAGTTATCATACATCCACGTGGTTCCAACTGCCAGCGAAGTAATTAAACAGACTTTATTTACAATTATTTATCGCTCATAAGCTTTCGAAGTTATTAATTTTCTGCACTGGTCGCTTTTTATTTCCCCTGGTGCCTTTTTTACTTTTGACCCCCACGTCCCCTTCTTATTTGACTCCCCATTATTTTGCTTAACTTTTTAGGGATTTCTCTGCTGCATCAAGAAGTACTGCGAGATTTCTTTCTAAAAGGAAATCTGATGATGAATACATTTTGTTGCTTACCTCGAATGAAAAACACGTAGAGAAATCACTTTATGAAAATAACGACAACGAAAAGAAATTATCAAAAAAATAACGAAATATATATAGTGAAAAAATTCCATTCTTCAATTAAAATTTTAAAATTTATAAAATTATCTTTCAGTCAACAGTTGACAGCCGTCTGAAAAAATGTAGTTACGACTATTATAACTAAATTTATTGAGATATCTTTTATTGTAATGAAAGAAAGAAAACAATTCACTTCGTCAAAAATTGTCCAGTTTATTGCGGCCATTAGGGTACGACGAATAGCGCGAAGCCAGAATCCACAAAAAAATCTCGAAAAGTTACCCTTCTGAAAACCATTTTTTGTCAAGGGCAACAAAAATTATTATGTGAGGATAACCGAATGAGTAACTTTGATTCGGATTCCGACATACAGAAGTAGCTTGTTATTAAAAAATACTGGCAATGGCATAATACTGGCATTCTGTACTTTCACTGTCAAATTACTCCTTGGCAAAATTCTAATCTTAACATTTAGCGGAGTTAAATCAACCAGAAATGATAAGCACTAAACAATAGAACAATATTTTTTTTTTGTTTATTAATAGTCCTTGCTTGATTAATAATTTTTTAGATAGACAGGTAGATGAAATCTTAAAATCTACCAAATAAGACTGGCTGAACAAAGGCTTTTTTCATCAATGAAGTATAAAAGAATAAGCACCACTTACAGAATATATCACTTCGATAATTTGTATAAATGACCTATACTTTCCTGGATATAACTGCATTTGAGTTTTAATAAAATCAAATGGCTGTGTGAGAATGCAAGCAGAAATGCCCGCTATTATTCCACAAACAAAACGACTCAACGGTGAAAAATCTTTTCCTTCTAAATTTTTCATAATTAAACATTCCAAAAATATTCAAAATAATATAATAACCATAATAACCATATAACATTATTTATACCATATTTAAAATAGTGAATTTTTAAAGAACTCTAAAAATATTTAAAATCTTGGCGAAAATAATAATATATAAATCAAAATAAGGTAAAGAAGTTTCTTAAAAAAATAAGTGTAACAAAACTTGTCCAATTATTCGAAGATTATTTCTGTAAAATAGAAGATATAAACCGGAAAATGGCGCATCTCTTAATATTGTCGGTAGGGAACCTTTAAATAAACCTGGAAAAAAATATAAAACTTTATTTATTTATTTCTATCATTATTATCTCCACGGTTTTCCACGAAAATCTTTCCATAAAATAGGATTTTTTTTCAAAAAAGAATAAAAAATTTATGAGAAAAGAAACCAGCAATGCCATACTGACGGACTAATTCCTTTGCAACTGAGAACAAATTTGAATCTTTATAGATATTGCTCTTAAAATTAATAATTAATGGCATTTTAAAAAACAAACTTTATCTTTTCTTCTGTTCAGTTACTATTTTCACTTTTCAAATTCTAAAAAATTGCTATCTCATTTAAAAAATTTTTTTACTAATAAAATAGTAACTAATTAATAAGCTTGAATTTACTTTACAAATAAATTTTAAGAGAAAATAAAATATAAGTTATACCTCAAGACGCGTTTTTATAACAGTTGGTGGCATTAATAAAGTACAAACCAACGAACGAGAAAAAAAGCCGAGAAATAAATTGGACAAATGAGCATTTAAATCTTTCGGTACAAATGTTTGAGCGATATTCAAAAAATTGAAATAAAGTGTTACGCCTGGTACAACTCGTATTATCGTCTAAGATAAAAGATTTTATGCAAAAATATTAAATTTTTTAAAGTTGCAATTCAAAACTTCAATCATGCAAGCAAAAAACAGTCTAGTTGGTAATTGCTAATCTTCCTCTAGCAGCTCACATCATTACTGGTTAGGCTGGCCCCAAGGATAAGACGCTTCCAAGCGGCGCGATCAGATGCCATCGCCGACAGTAATAGAAGCCATTCCTTTTTCCATCGTCTAAGTCCATATATTGCTGGTCCACCTCTACGTTCAAAATCTTTTCTGACCATATCAGTCCAAGTCTTGATCGGCCCACCTCGCTTTTGACGCCATCCATCACGCTTTCCACGGTTTAGTAAGTAACGAAATATGGTCAACTCTTGTGGTGGACGATGGAGAATGCCCTAACCATCGAAGGCGACGCTCTGTAATGATATTATTAATGCAAGTGGTATTTGAACGAAGATGAATGCTATCATGTGGCATTTTACCTGCTCGACGGACCCATAATGTACCTTAGATAAGAGTGGTCAAGGCTTCTTAATATCCTCCACTCTCATTGGCCATATCTCAGAGCCATGTAAATCGAGCGAATTACAGATAGATACAGACTTTCGTTTTAATGGTAATTTCACGACGGCTTCATAAAGCTTTCGTCAGCCGAAAGAACGCATGTCTACTGCCGTGATCCGGGCTGCAATATCGTCTTTTGCCCGGCCATTTGGTATAAGAGTGGACAAAGCATTGGGCATTTCCTCAACCTGCAATGAATTTATAAAAAGAGGCATTTTATCAGTTTCTTGCACATAAGACGAAAAGACTTTCGTTTACATTGATCCTGAATCCGATTTTTGCCGCAGTTTCTGACACGTTATTTATTATTTATTACTTGCATTTCGTCATAATTGTCAGCAAAAAGGACCACATCATCAGCGTATTCAAGATCTGTGATACGATGCTCTGGACTGATTTGGACACATCTTGAGTGCCAACAAGCGGTGTCCATTACCCAGTCTATCGCATAATTGAATATTGTAAGGGAAAGGACTTTGACGGATACCAGTTCTTATTTCGAAGGAATCTGTCAATTCCCCATACACACAGACCTTCACAGACATATGCTCATAAATGTCTTTATGAGTCGAATGATCTTCTCTGGAACATCGTTGCATTCCATCACTCTCCAAAGCGCCGCTCTATCAATTGAATCAAAGGCAGCTGCAGTCGATGAAACACATGACAGTGGGTTGCAAATATCTGAACCGATGTTTCAACATTCTTCTTAACGTGAATAACTGGTCAGCACAACTGCGCTCCGGTCTGAATCCAGCTTGATTAGGGCGCATCCTACTATCTCCTACTTCCATAAGTCTGTTGAGTAAAAGTGAAGCAAAAATTTTCGCTGAGATATCTAGTAAACTAATTACTCGATAACAATCGCAGTATATCCTATCATCTTTTTTGAGAATTAGGAATAGAATTGCTTTGCTCCAATCATCTGGTAATATTTCTTTTTCCCATACCAGAGAGTACATTTGTTGAAGGTGCGTTACGATGAGGACAACATTTAAAGAGTTCAGCCAGAAGACCATTTTCTCCCAGAGTCTTATTAGCCTTAAGCTTATAGATAATAGACATTATTTCTTCCTCTGTCGGGGGTTCGCACTTGCAAGCATAATTGGTAAAAAAATAATGTACAAATAAATAAAAATCCATTTAATTTTAAAAAGAGTAGAAATGAAAATAGGAAAAAATAATGAAAATTAAATGCAAAACTGGTGTTAATCCTCGCCAAAAAGAAAATATTCCATCGTTTTTTAAAATTTGTTTAACCAATAAATTTTTTGTTGTTTCTTGCTGAACAATTGTTTTAATTCGGTCAAATGGTTGCAATAAAACACATCTAAATTATTTTTATTTATTACCGTAATAAATTTCGAAAAACCTAAACTTATTTAAATATTTTTTGAAATATGTTAAATTTGGAAATTAATTCCTAAAGAAAATTGGAAAAATTTTAAAAATTTGCAAAAACTTAAACTTAAAAAAGTGAGTTTAAGAAATGAGTTTTTAATTAGTTAGGCTCGTTCCATGGCTGATAATGTAGGGAGCAGCACGGGTGGATCTCGGAACTAAACAACAGTCGAAGCAAAACCATTCGGCAACCTTACTCGACTGAATTCGTTTGGCAAAGATTAAACGATTAAAATGAGGGAATATTATAAATTAGTGATAATATGAAATAGTAAAAGCACTATACTATAGACAAATAAGACTATATTTCCCAGCCAACGAAACTCGTTCTCGAGCCATTCTCACAACTCTCTCTATCACCAGCCAGGCAGCCAGTCCGCCAGCGCATATCAAGGAAAAAACAGCGAAGTGGCCGAGAATACTGGGAAAATCCTTAATGACAGAAGAAGCGAATTAGGCGGTAACAGCAGGGAAGGTGGAATGGCAAACAAAAAGGCAATGAATAAAAGCGAAAGGTCACACGCATATGAACTCAAATGACCTTAAAGCTAACCGAGGCTATTGCACTTCTTTCACTAATTTTTTAAATAATTTTCCTAAGTTTACAAAACGCAATACCCAACAAAACTTGAAAATGTTCCAACAGCAATCGACGATGGAAATTTCAACAATGATTCTTCTTTATCATTGGCAATCATTTATTATTAAATAACTAAAAAATAAACAATTTAGTATTCCATACGCTTTTAAATGTTTAAATATTTTAAAATTTCAGCATAATTTTTAATAATTAAGAAAGCTAATCGTCGAATAAAACAACAAAAAGCGATTATTTAAAGTTATTGCTAATTAAAAAATAAGGAATTTTTAATAAAACGAAAAAATATATTCCCAGACTTCCTAAACTTCTTTTCATTTACCTAATTCATTTTCCAAAAAATTCGTTTAAAATCTAAAAAGAAAAAACAATCTGACAATTAATAGCGATTTAATTTAAAATTTATATCAATGGTACTTGTATTATAAATGATGCGGAGACCGATAAATAGTAATTCAAATTCTCAGCGAGAAATGCAAGTCCTGTTGAATTTAAGTTCATCGTTGATCGCTTTGTGTTTCTTGCAGGAAGTGAGCAATAAAGATTTTAAGTAGCTCGGTCACTGCTACTCTTTTCCCCTTTCGAGTTCGAATTAGCCACACTCATTTCTACCACTCCGTGCGGCGGTTTACAAAATGCAGATTCGTGTCCGTCAGCTCACGTAGTCACCGCTGACATCATCCACTGATTGCTATGATCTAAACGCGTATTTACCTGCTCACCTGGTAAAACGATGATCCAGACGCACATCCACCGTTTTAGGTGATCCATGCCAGAGATTCTCTATCGTTTTTTAACAGTTTTAACGGTTATACCGCTGTGCTTATATAGATCATAATTTTGGTTGCTCATTTGGTTTTCAGTTCAAATAAATGAAACTTAATTTATAATTTTTTAAAAAACGTTGATAATTTAGTTAAGTAAACAGTGAAACTAAATGGTACTTCGAAAATCAAATTGAAAAATTATCAAAAAAATTTGATAGAATGATAAAATTTTGCGATAACGGATTGTTTATTTTATGTAACAAAAATCTCTGTTCAATATTTAAACTTTATTTTCCATTCTTTCCTTTTAACATTTTATTGAGTTTTGCTTAAAATTCCGAGGAATTAATTTCGAATTGTAATTGATTTATTTTGCCTTTCAATAAAATTGTTTCTTGGAAAAACCATCTTAAAAAGCAATTTCTTGCTTTATTAAATGTATTTTCCGATTTTAAATTCGAAAAATTTTGTTCCTTATTTGTTTTTAATTTTGTAGATTCTGTAACTTCAGGAATATTAATAAATAATAAATAAGAATAATGTATGGTAGTGCCGATCAAGTGTTTTTCCATGGAGAACGAGAAGATTTTTCTGGTTCGTTTTTTTCAATTCTATTTTCTTTTATTTTTCTGTCTTTTATTTATTTATTGTTATTTCTTATTGTTATTATTTGTCATTACTATTATTACATTACTATTATTATTGTTCTTTATTACTATTTATTATTATTATTGTTATTATTAATATTAATAGCAATATTAATTATTGTTTATTATAATGTGTAAATTATTGCTTTTTGCTCATTTCTGGTTAATTTCTTCCCCTTAATTTTTAAAGCTATTAATATCAGAAATATTGCCAGAAAGTTAGCTGGTATTCATTACTAATATATTAATATATGTGCTATATATTAATTGTAAAAAATAAATTAATAATATTGAAAGCAGTGGGATGATTCTCGCCTGCCACGCGTTACTTATTGTAGAATAACCTTGATCCGGCTGCTTTATCAGGACAGTAAAATAAATACTGATCACCGCACGCATTAATAAAATTTTTTATTCACCAACTTGGGTAACTAAACCGATTAATTATTTTTTTTAGGAGTCCTCACCATTACTGGTTAAACTCGCTCCTAGCTTGTCACAATTAGGCAATATACCAGGGAATTCCTTGGCGATAGAAATACATGTAAGTCGCCAGCATCACCCTGATTTTTGGACAGGCCTGCAGGGAATCGAACCTCAGCATCGACGCTCCCAATATATTAAACCGATTGAATATATAAACTAAATATTTGATACGAATTAAATCCAGAGACAACTATTTCAAAATAAATAAGAAATGATTAAACAACATAGCAAAGTTATGATATTGAAATATTCCGACCCAATCATTTGGGTCCCTTGATGGCACCAAAATGAGGGAAGATGAACAATTTCCTTGAGAAGGATATACAATATATATTATAAATTGACCTTTATCTTTTATTGACATATGTGAAGAATTATTAAGTTAATGAAAGGTTTCATTTGGAGGGTCAGGGTCACCAGTTTGAAGTAATAAATTGAAATAATAGGAAACATCGTATTTCGCGACATTAATTATATTGTTATAATTATGTAATATAATTATTAATTATATTATATTATTATTAATTATATTGTTATTACTGATTAGTGGTGCTATTATTGTATTACTATTCCTACTATTTATTGATTAGCGATTTATCATAAATTATAAATTTTTATAATTATTAATTATTTACAATTATTATAATTAATTTTTATAATTATTTTGAGCATTTTTCGGTTACTTATGAACCGATCATTATCGTGCTCTTTGGCCTTTGTAAGCCTTTTAGTACAACATTTTGTTTCCTTTTATTTCTTTCTTTCCTTACAAGGAATTAACCGACTTATGGTATCTAATTATTTTTAATTTTATTTCATTTGTTTAAATCTTTTTTTATGATGGCAAGTTTTTTTCGAGTGATAAAAATGAAAAGCCTACCATGGTTTTGCACAACAATTTTAAACAGTTGTATTTTCTTCTCAATGATTTGCTTTCACTTTCTCTAATTTTTATGTTTTATTAGTAAATAATCGCTTAATAAAATTTTTTAAATTAATGGATTAATTTTTTAAAGTCCTTTGACTGGTTATTATTTTAATTTTTCGCATCCATCTATTTTAAGTTGGTGTATCAGTGGCATAACTTGGGTTCGAATTCTGCAGACGCACCACGCTTGGTCTGGCGGCATTGCAAGAGAGAGTAGAACAGCCCAGTGGGTTGTTGCTCAATTGGGAGCGCCGATGTTGAAGTTCGATTCCTCGCAAGAGCAAATATCTGTCCAAAAATCGAGTTGATGCTGGCAACTCACCTACTTCAGTCGCCAAACGATCTCTGCTATATTTGTAGTGCTACAAGCCAGCGGAGCGAGTTTAACCAGTAATGGGGAGGACTCTTTAAAAAAAAATTAATTTAAATTAATTTGAGTTTTTTTCTTCTTCGTCCAAATGATTATAATAAATATTTTTCATTATTATTATTATCATTTGGAAAATTTTAAGGCGATTAAGAGAAACTCGTTTTCGTAAAATATTTTGATTCTCAATGACATTATTTATTATTATTGTATTAAGAGTCAAAAATAAAATTTGCTGAATTTTTCAATATTTTTTGAAATGTTATTCCTTTTTAAATAATAGGAATATGATTATTATTCAAAATTTTAAATTTTAAAAGTAAATTTTTATTAAAATTTCAAAATTTAAAACTTTAAAAGTTTATTAAAAAGTTTTTCGATTTTTGATCATTTGAATTGATAAAAGAAACCGAAAAAAAATTGATATGAATCGCATTTGTTTAATTTTCGTTTTGTTTTTTGGTTAAAAAAATCCATTTTTCAAAAAATCTTTGTTAATTAAAGTTGAATTTTCTAATTTATTTTTTAATTAAAATTTCTCAGTATTTTTTCGCTTTTGTTTCGTTGAAAATTTTTTTAATTTAAAAATAAGTTCATTTGGAAAGAAATTAAATAGAAATTAAGAAATTAAGATATTTTTGAAGCTCCTTAATTATTTATTTTAATTATTTTTCTCGTTATTTTCAGTGTTTTATTTCATTTTTTACTCATTTTTTGAATATCTTTTTATAGTTTTTTCGATTTTGTAGATAGCGCCATTTTTTTATGTTTTTTACTTATTCATTTCGTATACTTTTTTCATTTATATCTTCTATGTTATCATTATATACTTTTTATCACTGATAAGTGAAATCGCGGAAGTCTGTTAATTTATTAGTGTAACTGCTTTTAAAGTAATTTTTTTTTTTATTTGTTCTGAATAATTTTTTAGATTCTGAAAATATGGTCGATAATGAAGTTGATTATTCATCATCCACAGCGATAACAACCATTCGAACAGTTGATTCCGATCTTTTGAATTTAAAAATTCAGATACCTATCGAAGAAAAAGTACATAATTTTCGTATAATATATATATATATAAAATAAAATTTTTGCTTCCTATAGAGTTTATTCTCGTCTGGAATTATCGTATTTGTAAACAGATTTTATATTTCATTCGAAATAATTAACAACAATTAACGAATGAATTTTGAATAAAATTTTTACAAAGAAATTTCAACGAATTAAATTTTTTGAAAAATTGTAAAAATTGTAAATTATAAAAATTTGCTTTAAATGTGAAATTGATACCTTGTTTCCCTGAAATGAATCAAGTTGCAGGATGGTTTTAGCTTTCGAAAACTATGGGCCTTCACTGGACCAGGATTTTTAATGAGTATCGCCTATTTGGATCCAGGAAATATTGAAAGTGATCTTCAGTCAGGATCTCATGCAGCATATAAGGTTAATTTTATGGTATTCATCATATATTTTTCTTCTATAAAAATGCAATTTACAAGAAAGTAATGAGAATCGAAAAAAAACAAATAGGTGAACTATAGGCGTACATGGTATCTACATTTATCTGCGTTCATTGCAAACGTACAACGCTGGTGGAATTCAGAATCTGCAATACAATCTGTTACTGCCGCAGAATACAATCTGCGGTTTGTTTTAGTTTAATAATCCTTAATTGAAAATATATTATTATTAATTAAATTTCAGTTATTATGGGTATTGCTATGTGCTCATATAATTGGATTTTTGCTTCAGCGACTGTCTTCACGTTTGGGTGTTGTTAGTGGTCACCATATGGCTGAAGTATATTTTTCTTTTTTTCTTCTAGCAACACTCACCAGCTCTGATTTGGCAGCTACACTGGCAATCGAGTTGATATTGAGTTGATATTCACCAGAAGAAATTTCATGGTGGTAAGAGTTAAATGTCACAAAATACTTCAAAGTATGACCTCAACTCGCCAAAGAAGTTATTCATTAATTTGATTAATTTTATCACAAAAAATATTTTTTTAAATAGAGATTATTTCCTCCTAGTTAATTATAATTAATTTTAAAAAGTTGTCTTCAACATTCAATTAATTAATTTGATAAAAACGCACCCCAACAATTTATTTTTATTGTGTGTTTTGTGGCAAGAATTAATTTTTATATTTATACTTTTATTTTTGTAATTTTTTTTGATTTTTTAAATTAATTTTAGTTCCAAGATTTCTTATTTTCTATAAAGTCTATAAAGTATTTATTTTTTTGATTTTTTGTGATTTCTCATTTATTGGCTTCGTCTGAGGTTTAATTACCCAAGTTTAAGGATAAAAAATTTGAACCGAGCGGATTCTCATTATTATTATTACTCACTATTATTTCATATTGTCTGTTCAAAGAAAAGCGATTCAAGAAAAAAATTATAATTCCGTGATTTAATATTATTATTGTTACCTTTTTATTTTTTGTAATTGAGTTCCCATTATTGCTTATTTTTTAATGATGGGTTTATTGTCTTGAGAAAAAAAGGCTCGATTCGTTCTGATTAAGTGGAAGCCAGTAAATGACATATGGACTACGTGCGTTTCAAAGGAAAGTTCCGCAATATTTCTGCCATCAGTATATTCCAAGTTTATGCGCAGATGACCACGATAAGGATAACTTCTATGCGGAGCTTCAACTATTAGTTACATCTCTACCGGAAGGTGATATTATCATAATCGAGGGAAACTAGAATGCGTGCGGAGGTCATAATACCGGTGAATTCGGTAATTGGCAAGTATGGCATCGGGGACCAGTGCGCCAAGGAGAACGTTTTCTTTGTTTTGCTGAAGAGCATTAGCTCTTTGTTACTAATATTTGCTTTTGGCATCGGAGAAAATTTATTTAAAATTCATTTATTCACGTGGAACTCTCCGGACAACTAGTATTCCAATCAGATTGACTATATATTGGTCAGTCACCGCTGGAAGAGTTCTGTGCTTGATAGTCGTTCTTATCGGGGAGCTAAAACTGGCAATCGTCATGGATCAGATTGTGTTATGGTTCGAGACAAGATTCGTATAAAACTGACAAGTCGTAAGAAACAACGTATCCCAAGACCTAACTATCTCAAATTAAAAGATCGGAGAACAATAAGCACATTTCAAACTGTATTATTGAAACACCTCAGTGAAGTGAATGTCAATGACATCTCTAGAAAAGCGAATGAATACTGGTCCGAACTAATGACAAGAGTCAGCCACTTCTACACTAGGGTATACTAGTAGAAAATATGCTAGTTGGGCGTTTGAAGCAACTGTCCAATTGTCTAAAAAAGTTGCCAATAGCTGCCAATACTTGAACATCGGGAGATTCTGAATATCGGGTGCTTATCGAGAATTGCAAATGCAGTAGTACAGCGGGACAGAAATCACTATTGCGATATGGCCTTGAGAATGGAGACAGTGGCTTGGATAGGTGATAATAGGAGACTGTTTCCTCTTCTTCATTACGCAACTATAACTCGAGAAGAGCTCAGTGAAATAAGATATTAATGGGGCATCTACCAAAGCTATTAAGAATCGCCTCAAATGATGGAGTTTTTTGATGCCAAACTTAACCATGATGCGCCATCCATTGTCCCGAATATAACTGATTTTGCAGAATGTGTTCTAACCATGCTGAATTCAGACCGGGACGCGGTTCTGCTGACCAGATATTTACGCTAAGAAAGGTGAGAGAACATCGCTTCATCGATTTTACAACTGGCTTCGATTCGCTTGATAGAGCAGCATTCTGGAAAGTGATGGAATATAACAGTGTTCCAGAGATCATTCGGCTCATAAAGGCATTTTATCACCATACCCTGGAACATCTGTGTATAACTGACAGACTCTTTCGAAATAAGAACAGGTGTCCGTCAGGACTGCTTCCTTTCCCCTAAAGTATTCAACTGTGCGGTAGACTGGACAATGGGCATCGCTTGTCAGCACTCAAGAGATGTGCAAATCAGTCCAGAGCATGGTACTGCAGACCTTGAATATGCTGATGATGTAGTCGTTTTTGCTGACAGTTATAAATTATAAGGAAATGCAAATAATGTTGAACAATGTCAACAACTGCAGCAATTGGACTCAAAATCAATGTAAATAAAATGAAAATATTTTCGTCTTATGTACAAGATGCTGATTAAATACATATTTTCATCAATTCATTACGGGTTGAGGGAATGCTTGACTTTAAATAACTTAGATCCACTCTAGTCACAACTGGCCAGGCAAAAGGTGAAATTGTAACCCGGGCAACGATAGTCAGAAATGTATTTTTCCGATTTATGAAATCTCTATGAAACCGTCGCGAAATCACCATGAGTATAAATATCCTCGTCCATATATCAATCTTAGTATATGGCGAATCATGGGAAATGAGCATGGAAAATATTAAGAAGCTATCAACCTTTGACCACTCATGTCTAAGATACGGATCGGTCGAGCGGATAAAACGCCACATAATTGTATCCATCTTCGTTCAACTACCACATGTATTATAAAAGAACGTAGCCTTCGCTGGTTAGGGTACCCCGTCGTCCACCAGAAAAGTTGGCGCATATTTTGCTGCTTGCCGAACCCTGATGGTTGGTTTCAAAAGCGAGATGAGACAAGAAGACCTGGACTGATAACCTTGTAGCTAGCGGAGTTAGCCTAACCAGTAATGGTGAGAGCTGTTGGAAGAAGTATTGTCTTTGAGAAATGGAAGTGTAAACAGTTCTAGGTCGAAGTGCATGCGCACTCTTTTGCTACTCAATCATCTTTAAGTATTTTTTGCTTTTCATCTAATTAATACTAATTATTCTTTCAGATAGCTTATTATTATTATCCAAAAGTACCTCGATATATATTATGGATTATGATCGAGATAGCTATAATTGGTAGTGATATGCAAGAAGTTATTGGTACATCTATCGCATTTTTCCTTTTATCAAACGGATTGTAATTTTTTTTAATTTTACTCATTAAAATTTATTAGATTTAGATTTATTTTATTCAACACACTTTATTCATTTGTTTTTTTTTTCTAAAGCATACCATTGTACTTGGGAGTATTAATAACGACACTTGATACTTTATTATTTCTGTTTCTCGATGTTTATGGATTTCGCAAACTTGAAGGATTATTTGCGTTTCTTATTACGACAATGGCTTTCACTTTCGGATATGAAGTTATTTTTGAATTATTTTTTTCAATTTTTTATTCAGAATTAAAATTATTTCTTCAAGAAGAAGCAAAATTAAAAATGTTTTAATTCAATATAGTTTGAAGAATTTTATAATGGAATTTTGCAAATTTTTTAATTTTAAAGTATAGTTTTGTCTTTTATTTGATTTAAATTTGTGAGAAAATTATTTATTTTATTCATTTATTTAATGTTATTTTAAAATTTATGCAAGAATCACGATTATTTTAAGTATGTAATTGTGAAACCGAATCAGTTTGACGTTATAAAAGGTATGTTTGTACCGTTTTGTGAAGGCTGTGGTCGAGAAGAATTTTTGCAGGCAGTCGGTATTATTGGTGCTGTTATTATGCCACATAATTTATATTTGCATTCAGCGCTCGTTAAGGTTTCTTTTATTTTGGCTTTTTTATGCAAAAATAGAAGTAAAATCAGAGAAAGTATTGAAATTATTAAAATTATTGCTTGAAATTATTGCTAAGTATTCGCTAAAACGTTTTTGTTGCTTATTTGACAGGAGTGAACCTATCATTAATAAATATTTCTTTACTCTAATGACAAAAGCTTTAAATCGTAGTACCAACGGTTAATGGAACAAATCCAATCAGAAATGATCAACCACATATCTAATTTTAGAGTAGAAATGTCGATCGAAAAAAAACGAAAGATGTGAAGGAAGCAAATTTTTATTTTTTCATAGAATCCGGTGTTGCATTAATTTGCAGCTTTTTTGTTAATTTATTTGTTGTTGCCGTTTTTGCGCATGGATTTTTCCAAAAGACCAATTATGATGTGGTTAATCATACTTTATTCGCACACTCTTTTGCTACTCAATCATCTTAATTTTATTTGAGAAAATATTATTAGAAATTTTTATTTGAGAAAATATTATTCGATTAATCATTATTCAATCTTTTCTTTTACGCATTTGCTGTTATTGAAAAAATTATATAAAAATATTTTAGCGTGGCGATTGTGATAAACGTGGAAATATTCCTGATCCGGAATCTTTTCCATACAATAATGAAACTGCTGAATCGGATATTTATAAAGGTGGAATTTTCCTGGGATGTGAATTTGGATTGGCTGCAATGTATGTTTGGGCGGTAGGGATATGGGCTGCAGGTCAAAGTTCTACTATGACGGGTACATATGCTGGTCAGTTTGTTATGGAGGTTAGTATATTTTTATTTGTTAGATTATTATTAAGTAGTAGTCTATTGCAATTAGTGTCACTTAAAAATTTATTTTTTTAGCATCATAAAAAAAGAAATTCGGATAGATTTTTTTTTTCAATCGACCAATATCTTAATTAATAATGGAAGGAATTCTTTGAAGCCAAACTTAACTATGATGCCCCATCTGTTAACCCAGATATAGCTGATACGTTCGTCGAATTATACGTTTGCCGAATTTTTCAAATGTTATCCATCATCCATCATAATGCATCAAGTGTATTTTCTGGTAGGAAAAAATTAATTCCCAAGAAAGGTTGCTATACAGCTGCTAAATATGGCCAATGAGGGTGGATGATATTAAAAAGTTATCTGCTTTTGACTCTTGTCTAAGATATATTTTATGGGTACGCCGAATGGATAAAATCTCACATGATCGTACCCACCTTCGTTCAATTACCACTTGCATTAACCATCACGGAGCATCGCCTTTGCTGGTTAGACTCGCTCTTCATCGCCCACCACAAGAGTTGACACATATTTTATTACTTTTAAACCATGTGATGAGTGGCGTCAAAAGCGAGGTAAGCCAATCAAGACTTTGACTGATACGGTTAGGAAAGATTTCGACCAGCATATAGGTGGACCAGCAATATATGGACTTAGATAATAGGAAAAGGATGGCTTCTTTTATTGTTGACGATGGCATCAGATCGCGCCGTATTACTCTTATAGCTAGTGGAGCCTAACCAGTAATGGTGAGAGCTATTAGAAGAAGAAATTTTAACTCATATTTGCGCTTTTGTTATTGTTCTTCTGTTACATAGATGAGTATATTCAAAAACATTTTTAGCAAATTTTAATGAAAATTCCTATATTGTTTTTGAAATTAATTCTATGCAAAATTAAAAATATATGATAAATATATTCTTTTTCTATATTTTATATAGCTTTTTGCTTGCGCTGAATTTAACAGGACGAATTTAATAAAGCGGATTCGAACTTTTTTTACATTTTCCAATCGCATTTTTAATTCAGTTGCACCAAAGTTTGTTTTGTTAATCAAAAAGCGGCGAAAGTCGAAAATGTAGTTGGAATGGGCTTGTTATGTGTTCCATATGGTTTCATTGGGCTAACACGATAAAATCTAAATGCCGGAACTTTACTTGTGGCTGCAATGGAATTTTATTTTTTTGGAGTTTTAGAAATCCATTATTTAAATTTTTTATTTTGGGGTTTTCTTCAAATAAAATGGTCTCGTTGGCTTCGAGTTTTGGTTACAAGAGCGATCGCAATAGTACCAACGATGTTTGTTGCTTTAACGCTAAATGGTGTCAGAGATCTAACGGGTATGAATGATTTTCTAAACTGTGTCCAAATGATACAGTTACCATTTGCCCTTATACCAATAATAACTTTTACATCAAGTAAACGAGTCATGCATGGTTTTAAAAATTCAAGGTAATTCTTTTTTCTTTTTAAATTGTCTCCGATTGCAATTTTTTAATTTGTTCTTTATTTTATTCAGTCTTTTTCGTCTCAAATTTTAAAAATATTTAGCTTTTTAAAGAAATCTCTTAATGATAAAGTTTAAATAAAAGAATTCTTTAAAAGCTGAAAGAAATTAAATTTCAAAATTTCAGTTCATTCCAGATATTTTCTTTCGTAATATCACTAATTGTTATTATGATAAATTTATATTTCTTTTATGATTATGTGATTAGTCGTCTTGGATCGAAGTGGTATATTCTTTGTGCATTGTCACTACCAACAATTATTTATATGATATTTGTCCTATATTTGGTATTTTTCATTTGCTTTTATTTTAAAAATTCAATAAAGTTTAGAATCTTTCTTTTTAAAAATAAAACTTATTTGGAGAATATCATTTTAAATATTTGTCCATGTCGACATGTTGATAAGAATCTTCTGGTCCTTGTATTTCATTTTTTCATATCATTTTTTTTTTGAAAACTCGGCATTATTTTATTTTTTTATCAGTATTGCGCATATTTCTGCTAAATGAAAAGTTTTTCTTGCTATATTTTTAATCGATTTTCAGCTTTGTCAATGCATCTCTGCAATGGAAATTTTCCGAAACTTCAGCGTTAATTTTTTCATTTTGCTCTTTCAATATTTTGCTAAAACTGCGATTAATTATTAATTTTGATACTTGAAAATGTTAATGACAATGGCAATTAATGAAATTTGAAATTGAATTGTCTGCTTCTCCATTAATAAATTTCAGTTTCAGAATATTTCTTATTTGAAAGAACCAGATATTTTGTTTGATGCTCCGTGGCTTCAATAAAAAAACGATTGGGAATGTTGCCAATTTACCAGCAATCACATTATTGTTTAATTTCTAATTTTCTTCGCTTTAACTTAAAAAATTTATTGCAATTGCAACTTTGCAATTTTATTGCGATTAAAAGAATAACTTCAAATTTTTGCACATAAAAATTGTTCATTTTTTTTTAAGTTTTTTTTTTGATATGGATTTACGAAAATTGTTGCATATAATATATATATATATAAAACGAACATATTTTCTACTTTCATTATAATTCATTATTAGGTACTTTCATTATTATTATTTCTTTTTTATTTTTTGCTATCATTTTTCATATTTATTTCTTCTGTTATATTTTTACTGCATTTTATTTTTAAAAAATACTTTATCTTTTAATTAAAGGTTGTTTTGTTTCATTTAAATTTTTTCGGTTGATTGTTTGCTTTTGGTTTTCTTCCTTTTTATAGAAGTATTTGTTCAAAAAACAACGGAAGAATGAGAAGTCAGATATGAATAAAATACAATATATTTTGTGAATTTATTTATTTGCTTCTCTCCTCATCAGGGCAGCTTTCTGTAATGCATGACGTGTTGTACTTTCTTAATAAAATTATTTTTATATAAAGTACAAAATCGAAGATAAACTGATCAAAATAAAAGCGGAAAAAATTTGTAACCAGCAAAAATAAATTGCGTTGTCTATCACTGTAGTTAAATAAATTTCCAACTGCACAGTCTTTAGAGATCGGTAACTTATGCATAATGATAATGTAATATTATGCATAGAATATGGTCTGTTATTCAATAAATAAAAATCATATTTCGTAACGCTTCCATGAGAATCAAAAAAATTGTTTACGAAAAAGAAATCAAGTAATCCTAAGTTTTCAACTTAACGAAACTAAATTTTGGCAAAAATTAAGACTGAATTCTCATGGGATTCGTAAATTCTATTATGCTGCATGAAATCAAAATCAATATATGATTTAAAGGTATATTCAACAATCTTCAAAATTAAACTCAGGGTGGAGCTGTCGATAAAGAGTCGCCCATTCATTCCAAACTGTATCCGGAATATTCATTTTTTCCGGGAAAATGAACAATTTGGAACAAATTTCTTTGGCAAGACCAATGATTAGGCGATTCTCAATTGGGAAGTTGATCGCATTTAATTTCCTAAAAAATAACAAAAAATGATTCAAAAATAGCCATAAAAGAATTATATTATTATATTATTATTATATATAGAATTATTATTAAAAAAAAACTTGAATTTTAAAGAAATTTCGTTGAAATATAAAGAAAATATTACTAAGGAAATATCAAAAACTAAAACTATACAAAATTTTAAAATTCGCTCACTTCAAATAGTTATTCATCGGTGTTTGAATGGATTCTGTGAAAATTGAGGAAAGCACTCTATTCAGTAAATGGTTCTTTTCATTTAAGTACGAGGATGGCGTAGTAGATTTCTTCCGAAAATCCTTAATATTTAATTTATAAAATTTATCTGCAAAAAGCTTTTTTGACTAATGTAACTTTTTCACTTAGTGAACTTGATAAAAAAATATTTATAAAAAATATATACTTTGTTAGAATGTCCAGTATTTTCTGGTGTTTTAGAATCTTTTTCTCGAATGATAAAGCGTGGCGCTGCCTTTTCTGAAAAAAAGGAAATGGAAGAAAAATAAGCGTTTTATTTAAAAATAAACGTTTTATTTAAAAAATCCATTTTTCCAACTTTTAATTTTGAATTCCAAATTTAATTTGAATTTAAAGACCAATAAAAAACATTTAAGGATGGAAATAAATCAATTTTAATGAATACTGATCCAAACTAAAGGAATGTTTCCGAAAGTCGGCCACTTCCACGCCAGGGCAAACAAGTAAGAAATGCGCTAACTGGATATCGGAAACTATTGTCCAACTAATTGAAAAAGCTATCAAAGCATGAACATCAGGAGATTTTGACTTCCGAATAATGCTTCGAAGAATTGTAAGGAAAGCAATGAAACAGAAATCACTATTGGAGAGACATGGTCTTGAGAATAAAGAAGGCAGCTGCTCAATTAGGTGATAACTGGAAACTATTCCGCCTTCTTAATAATGCAACTCTAACTCAGGAACAGTGAAATGGCAAGGTACAACAATGGCATGCCCATTAAGAGTATTAAGGACAGCCTCTTTTTTTTAAAGAGTCCTCACCATTACTGGTTAAACTCGCTCCACTGGCTTCTCGACCATATGCTTGCAATTGCGAGCCTCAAACAGAAGAAGAAATCTTCGCTATCCATAAGCTTAAGGCTAATAATATTCCGGGCCGAAGTATTCAAATGTTATCCATCGTCCATTATAACGCATCTTCCACAAATGTACTCTAACAAAGTATTCTAGTATGGGAAAAAGAAATATTACCAGATGAATGAAGCAAAGCAATTCTGCTCCCAATTCTCGAGAAAGGACATGCGACAATTATCGAAGAATCAACTTACTAGACGTCTCAGAGAAGATTTTTGCTTCCCTTTTACTCAGTAGACTTATGAAAGTACGGGACAGCAAGATGCATCCTAATCAAGCTGGATTCAGACCGCGGCCAGACCAGATATTGTGCAGATTGTGCTGACCAGATATTCACGTTAAGAAGAGTGTTGAAACATCGCTTCAGATATTTGCAACCCACCGTCATGTGTTTCATCGACTTGCTGCTGCCTTCGATTCAGTTGATAGAGCTGCGTTTTGGAAAGTGATGGAACGGAGAGTGTTCCAAAGATCATTCGACTCATAAAGGCGTTTTATGAGCGTACGTCGGCGCAGGTCTGTGTATATGGTAAACTAATAGAATCCTTCGAAATAAGAATTCATATCCGTCAAAGTTATGCCCTTTTCTCTACAATATTCCAACTATGCGATAGACTGGATAATGGACACCACTTGTCGGCATTCAAGAGATATCAGTGCATAGCACTGAATAAATCACATATCTTGAATACGCTGATGACTCTTTTTGCTGACAGTTATAACGAAATGCAAATAATGCTAAACAACGTGTCAGCAACTGCAGCAAAAATCGGACTCAGGGTCAATGTAAACGAAAGCCTTTTCGTCTTATGTGCAAGAAACTGATAAAATGCATCCTTTTATAAATTCATTGAGTTAAATTCATTGAGAGCAGGTTGAGAAAGTGCTCGATTTTACCTTGAGTCCACTCTGTTACCAAATGGCCAGGCAAAAAACAATATTACAACTCGGATTACGGCGAAAGTCCACATCTATATAGCCGCGATTCGTTCGATCTTGCTATATAACTGCGAGACATGACCAATGAGAGCGAAGGATATTAAGAGCGTTTGGATTGATACGGTCAGAAAAGATTTTGAACGTATAGGTGGACCACTTAGACGATGGAAAAAGGAATGGCTTCTATTTCTGTCGACGATGGTATAAGGCCGCGGCGCTTGGAAATATCTTACCCTTAGAGCCGTTGGAGCCAGCATAACCAATAATGGTAAGAGCTATTAGAAGAAGAAGAAATCAGTTTAATATTTATATTTATATTTAATATTTATAGATTTCTTAAAAATATTAACGCTATCTGATTCATATAAACTCCCAAAACATCGAATAGAATTTCTTCATATTACTGGTTCTTCTAACAACAATTTAAATTTGACTTGGCTCCTTGACTATCGGAATGAGATTATTGGGAAATTTAAATTTGACTGGCTCACTACAAATCGGTTTCTTTAATAACGGACTTACTTTCATCGAGAAGAATAGGACTTATATCAATCTTTCCAATTGACTTTTTAGTCACTGGTTCGCCGTCCAATTAGAATAAAATGGCCAGCGTATATTTTAAAAAATTGTTAAATAAAAATAAAAATCCACCTTTTTTAGGAGAATATTTCATCAAAAATTCTACTTCTGCCAAGAATACAAAATACTCAAGTGTTATACATGCATAAGCATCATGACAACGTTTGACATAAATCTGTAATATTTTAAAACTCAAAAATTTGAGAAATTCATATTATATAGGCAAGGAATATATATAATAATGGGAATGGAATGGCTCAGTGGGTTATTGCTCGAATGGGAACGCCGATGCTGAGGTTCGACCGCAGGAGTAAACCTGTGAGAAATCTGGGTGATGCCGGCGATTCACCTAAATTTCTATCGCCAAAGGATTCTCTGGCATATTGTCCAATTGCAATAAGCCTGTGGAGCGAGTTTAACCAGTAATGGTGACTATTAAAGAAAAAAAGCAAGGAATAAACTAGACATTAAATAATGGCTACTGGTTCTTCCTATTTCTTCTAATACGCATCATTTCTTGGCTGGCTCCATTTACCACTAGAACGAGCCATTTGTGAAATTTTAGTAACAGAATCGCCTTGAGACAGACGTATATAAATGGATTTCCAGTGCCACTTAAATTTCACTTTTAATGACAATTCCTATTAAAGAATGATGTATTAATCGAATTCATATTGCTTCATCGTTTTAAACCCAATTGAAATTGAAATTAAATACCATTATTTTAAACGAAAAATGCATAAGCATCCAAAGAAAATAAAAAAAGTGGACCTGAAGAATGTGTTTTACGACTTCCTTGTGAATTTCTAATGCTTCTGTAATCGATAAACCATTGAGAAATACATCTTCGAGACATCTTTTCATTTTCTTAAAGTTTATACGAAAATTAAAATAGAAATAAAATTTCAGTTAATTGTGTTATAAGGCAATCTAAATTTTGTTTTTTTGTCATTGACATGAGTAAATCTATCATGATTTCAAAAATCTGAGTGGTTGTTGAGGACTCACCTACAACTTTATTCCTAAATGACTTGTGGTGAAAAGATCAGGTCTAGGTGCACATGACACCCCCTCCCCCGGTAGCATCTGCGACAAGTATAAAATCTGAGCATAAAATGAATCCAGAGGGTACAAATTAAATATGCAAGCCAGACAATTGCTTAAAACCTGTCAAGGGGAAAAGTTCTCTATACGCGCGGCGTATTAGTCGTAGCACTGTGGAATATCAGAGCGCTTATGGATGTAACATGTTTTTCAAAATATCGATGTCGACTGCTTATCGGATTTCGTCTTCCTCACCTCGAGTCTCGAGTAATTATAAGCTTGGCTCCGAGAAGTATGGCCTACATCCGTTTCAAAGGGAAATTCTGAAATATTTCAGTCATCAGTATATCATACATGGTACAATTTTATGCGATGACTGTGACAAGAGCAAGTTTTGCGCAGAACTCTAACTAATAACATTCCAACTAAAAGCTGGCAGGGTCACAATCGATAGTTAGAGTGACTGGAATGCGCGTTTAAGTTACGTTGTTGCCTCAGTAATTAGCAAATATGGCATCGGGATATTGTGCGCCAGTGTAGAATGTCTTCTTTCAGAACTTCGAGAACGTTTTGTCGAAAAGAAAGAACTTTTTGTTACTAATACATATGTCGCGAAATGTGATGCTTTTTCTAAAATTATTATTTCAAACTAGTGACCTCAGCCAAAAGAAAACTTTCATTAACTTAATCAATTCTTTGCTTATTCCATTTTCATATTTCAAAAGATTAAGGTCAATTCGCAGTTGTATATCCTTCTCAAGAAAATTGCTTTTTTCTTCCTTTTTTCTTATTGTGGACCCAAGCGCTTGGGTCTCAATATTTCAATATTTTTGCATTTTTATTATTTAATATCCTTTATAATATTTAATATTATTATATTAATTATAATAATATTATTTAATTATGAAATATTTAATCACTTATTTCTTTTGAAATAGTCATCTTTTTAGATGAATATTCTATGGATTTAATTTGCATCGAATATTGTCTTTTCCTATCAGTATTACTGAGGTTTAATTACCCAAGTTTGAGGTGTGAAATGAAGAATAAAATTTTTAAAAATATGTGCGATGATCAATACTTTTATTATTATTCAAATCAAGGTTTTTCTAAAATATTAAAGCGTGGATCATTCCACTGCCTTCAATTATTATTCTATTTTTTACATAGTTCTAACATCGAAGAAATCACGTAACTCCGTGGAACTCTCCGGTAGCCGCCACTTTAACCAGATTGATTATATTTTATTCTATCGCCACTTAAAAGGAACCTCGTCGTTGCTATTGTGGCGCTAAAACGAGCAATTTTCATAGATCTTACCATGTTATGGTCCGAGCCAAGATCTCCATAAAACTGACAACTCAAGAGATAGAGTCCTCCAAGATCTTTTAAACTAAACGATTCGGAGATAAGAGTACCCAGTTATTGAAGCACCTCAATGGTATAAATATCAATGATTTTTCTGGAACGGCAAATGAATACTAGTTCCAACTAGAGGAATGTCCCCGAAAATCAGCCACTTCCACGCTAGTGAATAAAAGTAGGAAGTAAACTAGTTTGGAACTATCCAACAGTCTGAAAAAAGGTGCCAAAGCACGAACGTCAGGGAATTTTGGCCTTCGAAGAAAAAAAAAATATAACGAATAGAAATCATTACTGTAGAAAATTTTGGATTCCCTCTTGTTGAATAGACTTATGGTAGTTTAGCTCTAAGCAAGCTGGATTCAAAAGAGGCGACAGTGACCAAATATTCACACTAAGGAATTTGGAATATAGTTTCAAATATCGTCAACCCATTCTACTTCATTTTGTTTCATCGATTTTGCAGCTGCCTTCGATTCAATTGACGACGCTTTGGAGGGCGATAAAATGTGATGGTGCCCCAGGGAAGAACATTCGATTAACAACAGTCTAACGTATTTTATTGGCATACTTTGGCACAAGTCTATGAGAACTGAAAAATGCAAACTGAGGAGATCAGCCCAGAGCATGGTATTATAGACCTGAATACTTTTTCTAATAGCTCTCACCATCACTGGTGAGGTTGACTACAAGGGTAAAACGCTTCCAAGCGGCGCGGTCTGATGCCATCGTCGACAGTGAAAGAAGCCATTCCTTCTTCCATCATCTATGTCCATATATTGCTGGTCCACCTATATGTTCAAAATCTTTTATGACCGTATTGTCCAGGTCTTGATTGGCCCACCTCGCTTTCGACGCCATCCATCATAGGGTTTAGTAAGTAACGAAACATGTGTCAATTCCTGTGATGTAAGATGGAGAGCATGCCCTAATCAGCGAAGGCGATGCTTTATGACGGTTAATGCAAGTGGTAATTGAACGAAGGTAGATGCGATCATGTGAGATTTTATCCATTTGGCGAATCCGTAAAATGTACCTTAGACAAAAGTGGTGAAAGATAACTTTTTAATATTATCCACTCTCATTGGCCATTCTTAAAGCCATATAGCAAAATAGCCATATCGAACGAATCATGGCTATATAGAAGCGGATTTCCGTTTTTATGGTGATCGCACAATGGCTCCATAAAGGTTTCGTCAATCGGAAGAAAGCATATCTAGCTGCGTGATCCGAGTTGTAATATCGTATTTTGCCTGGCGATTTGATAATAGAATGGACCCTAGGTATTTAAAATCGGGTACTTCCTCAATATGCAATGAATTTATGAAAAGATTGTATCAGCTTCTTGCACATAAGATGAAAAGACTTTCGTTTTATTTACAGTAACTCTGAGTACGATTTTCGCTGCAGTTGCTGATACTTTATTTATTTGGCATTATTTGCATTTAATCATAACTTTCACCAAAAAGGACTACATTATCAGCGTATTCAAGATCTGCGACACGATACTTTGGGCTGATTTGTACAACTCTTGAATGCTGAGAAGCGGTGTCCATTATCCAGTGTATTGACACTGTTGAATATTGTAGAGAAAAAGACACATCTTTGACGGACATCAGTTTTTGTTTCGAAGGATTCTGTTAGTTTCCCATATACACAGTCTTGCGCCGATTAGATCATAAAATGCCTTTATGAGTCGAATGATCCTTGGAATACTGTCGCGTTCCTTTACTCTCCATAACGCCACTCTATCAACTGAATCAAAGGCAGCCACAAGTCGATGAAACACGTGACAGTGGGTTGCAAATATCTGAAACAATGTTCCAACACCATTCTTAACATCAATATCTGGTCAGCACAACCGCGCCCCGGTTTGAATCCAAGTGATTAGGACGCATCCTGCGTCCCGTACTTCCATAAGTCTTGAGTAAAAGGGAAGTAAATTTTCGCTGAGACGTCTAGCACGCTGATTCCTCGATAATTGTCGCAGTATGTCCTATCACTTTTTTTGAGAATTGGGAGCAGAATTATTTTACTCAAATCATCTGGTAATATTTCTTTTTCCAATACCAGAGAGTACATTTGTTGAAGGTGCGTTATGAAGGACGATGGACAACATTCGGAGAGTTCACCCCGAAGACCATCTTCACCAGGAGTTTTAATGGCCTTAAGCTTATGGCAGATTATTTCTTCTTCTGTTGGAAGCTTGCAATTGCAAGCATATGGTTCGGCGAACTATCAGCTATATCAGGGGGAACAGATGGCGCTTCATGGTTAAGTTTGGCCTCAAAGAATTCTTTCATCTTAAGAGGCGATCCTTGACTGGCACGCCATTGTTGTCCCTTACCATTTCACTGATCTCTCCGAGTTATAATCGCTTTGTGAAAAGTTTCCTATAATCACCTATCCGAGCCGCTGTTTCCATTCTCAAGGCCATATCACTCCTATAGTGATTTCTGCCTGCCATGCTGCTTTCGAAGCATGCGGTTAATCAGGATCGCCCCACATTCGTGCGCTTTTTCAGACAATTGGATAGTTGCCTCCTATCTTTATGCCCTAGCGTGGGAGTGGTTGATCTTTGGGAACATTCCTTTAGTATTCATTTGCCGCTCCAGAAAAATCATTGATATCTGCATCATTGAGATGCTTCAATAATTCGGTTTAAAATGCGCTCACTCTCTCCAAATTTTTTGGTTTGAGATAGTTGAAGGATCTTATTACGTGTTGTCGATTTTATGCGGATCTTAACTTGAACCATAATATGGTCAGATCCATGAAGATTGCCCGTTCCAGCGCCGCGATAGGAACGCTATCTAGTACGGAATTCTTCCAATGGCGAATGATATATACTAAGATATATAACCAATCTGGTTGAAGTTTTGGTTATCCAGGGAATTCCACGTAACTAGATATTTTCTATGAAGCAAATATTAGTGACAAATAATTCATGTTCCTCCGCGTTCGCCAATGGCGCACCGGTCCCTAACGCCATATTTGCCAATTGTCTAGGTCATTATGACGTATCAGACATTTCGCCCCGAGTTATCCGAAGCAACACAATGATATAGCCAGTATTTCTGCTTCGAACCAGAATTAGTAATTACTTGAGACCTGAAGTGAGGAAGACGGACCTCCGACAAGTATGCCATATCCACCTGGTATTTAGAAATGGTGTGGACAATAATCGCTTGAATTGCAACATCTATAAGCTCTGACGTTCCATGCTAATACCTAGCCGTGCGTGCAGAGAGCTGTTTTTCTTGATAGGTTTCGAGCAATTACTCTGGCTTGCGAGCACATTTTATTCATCAGTTATGGGATCGTTTTATGCCCGAATTGTATACTTATCACATGTTCCACCGGGCTGGGAAAATATCGTCGAAAGATGCGGACGCCGTATAAGAATATCTGACTCTTTCACCATAGAGTCACTTGAGGATAGAGTTACAGGTGTGTCACCAGCAACAACTCGGATTTTTGACATGACAGACATGCTTCTATCAAAAACAGGATTTAAATTTTATATATAAATGAATTTTATATATATTTTATATATATATATATATTTATATATATATTTTATTTCAATTCTTTTTTTTAAGTTTAGAAAAAATTTTAAAAAAATTTTGCTCGTAGTTTATGGAAATTTTAAAACCTTGGATACGCTGATTATTAATCCTTTCTGCTGACAATTATGATGAAATGCAAATAGTGCTAGGCAAAGCATCGACAACTGAATGGAAGATCGGACTCAGGATTAATGTCATTTAAACAAAAGATTTTTCATTTTTTTTCTTTAGTTCTCTTCGTTTTACATATAAAAAGCTGATAAAATACTTATTTTTATCAATTCATCACCCGACTGAAGAAAAATTTTAAATATCCTCATAAATATTATCGATTCACTCTAGCCCCAAACGAAAAATGAAATTACAACTGGGATAACTGGTAACTAGAATTGCATTTTTCCTGCTGGCGAAACGTTTATGAAGTCGTCGCCAAATCAAAACGAAAGTCCGCGTCTAATAGCTGTAATTTGCTCGATATTGTTATATGGCTGCTATACATAGCCAATGACAGTGGAGGATATTATCTTCTCTTGATTACTCATTGTCTAAGATGTCATTTTACGCCAAATAAAATCTCAAACCTCATTTACTTTCGCTCAAATACCGCCTGCAACAATTCCATCACAATGCATCGTCTTTTCTGGTTAGATCACATTCGTCACCTACCTACCCACCACAGTGGTAGACATATGTTGATTTTGTTAACTGTTGATTCCGTGATGGATGCCGTTAAAAACCAGAAGGGCCAATTAAGAGCCTAGACTGATATAGTCAGGAAACACTTATATAAATACCAGCAACATATGGAATTAGATGGCGGGAAAAGAAGTATCTTCTATTACTGCCAGAGATGACATCGGATCGTACATAGCATGGAAAGTCTTACTCTTGTAGTTAGTGCAGCCAGTCTAAACAGTAATGATGATAGCTATTAGAAGAAGCTGTTCTTAATTTCAGTTAAGGTTTATTGATAATGGTAGAAAAAAATATATGAACCAAACATTTTTAAAATTAAAAATTCGAAAAAAATCCCCAATTAATTAATTAATTAACTTCTTGTAAATCTTGAGATTGATGACAGCGATGTTCGACCAGATAAGAGATAATTAATTTTATAGAATGTTCCAAAGAATTGAGAATCGATTTAGAATGAATAAGCATAATGTCATTATCTTTCATCATTTCATCCATATCTGTTTCACATATTTGTAACTTTAAAGATTGCTCATCAGATAACTGCAAAATAAAACTAGAAATAATTTCATAAATAAAAAATTTCATCTCATTTTTCAAACTATATGGAAGGACAAATAATCAGAATCAAACTTATGTTTATATCTTCAAAAAGTTAAATTTATGCAATTAAAAAAATAATCTTAAATTTTCTTTATAGATCGAATATACACTAAATTAGCAAAAAAAACCAAAGATTTTTTACGAAAAAAAATAAAAATTTATGATTTCAAATTATATACAAAGATGAACACAATTAAAACTAGAATGTAGTGATTGAAGAGATAGAAAAAAATGTAAAAGTTTCGAAAAGCTGACGAGTTAAGTTATATTTAACATTATGAGTTATATTTAACATAGAAATTACTATTTAAGAACGGATAACAGAAAACTGAACTGAAAAAAGCAGAATTTCCCCATTAAATTGCTCAATAAATTTTATGAATTTGATGACAAAAAAACACCTCTTTATTCACCGCAATGAGCAGAGCTTTTACAAGGCGGACATATGTACTCAGAGTTCTCGAAGAAAATGTTTTAGAAGAAGATGCCTCATCACAATTTTTCCGTTCGACGAAAACTTCTAATAAAGCATTGCACATATCGTCATGGTTGCCAGTATAATTATAGTAGCGAAGAATCTTTAAATGAAAATGAAAATAGTAAAGGCGCATTAAAAAAAATAATTTTAGGAAACGATAAACAATTGTTTAAAAAAATAAAAAAGTAATAAAACTACCACATATATCTTTTCCTTCAATCTTGGCTGAATATTGATATCCATGGATGTAATTTCATCAAATTTGTCCTCGCACATATAATGAGCAACATTTTGAAATAGCTCATATTCATCTGAAACGTTCATGAAAATAACATATCATATATATCAAAATTTATATGTTCAAAAAGCAGTATATATAAGGGCTAAGAAAAAATTTATAAAGTTTACATCAATAATAGTCAAAAGGTGCAAATACCAAAATTTATGAATTTATTAACTCAAATTTTTATCTGGGAAGAAATGAAAACAGCAACTAATTGTTTTCCTTCTTCATTTTTGTTAAGATCGTAAATTACTGCATTTATAGTTATTCCCATGCATTTTATATCAATATTATTATTTTCAGGAATGTTTAACCAGTTAAGTTCGAGATGAAATAATAAACAAAAATGATATCGGAAAAATATCAAGAAATGAATTTTGATAATATTAACAACAATTTAAGCTACGAATACGACAGTTTTTATTAATTTTTTTTTGTTAGAGCAAATAAGTAGCAAAGTGGAAATTTGAATGAAATTCTACTATCCTGATGGAATAATTAGTATTGTTCGAAATAGATTTGCCATGATTTAAAAAAATTAAATTTAGGAATTAATTTATTACTCCACAGGGAATGGAATAATAATGAATAACAACGTCTATGACAACCAAAAACGAACGAAGATGAAAAAAAAAGTTTGAATTCAAAAACATTCCAAGCCGATCAATAAGATCGAGCTGAAGAAAAAAATAAAAAATTCGTTAAAATATCTAAGAAAAAACAAAAACAAAAAGTAAAAAAAAAGAAAATGAGAGAATATATTTCAATAAATTAAAAAAAAATGCAAATATTTCGTCACACTCACCATCTACTGGATGTTGATTATTTTTACAAACGAATTCATAAGGTGGCGATGAACAGCTATCAGAATTTGATGGTCGAAGCTCATTCATAATATTTTTTCTTTTGATCAACTGGCCTATTTTTTTTGAACGAAAAATTGTATCTGCTATAAAAAAATTTAAAAATTAAACAATCACTAAATGTAAGCAAAATTAAATTGAAGAACCTTTTAACTAAAAAGCTGAATAATTGCATAAGACTTCTTGTAAATTCCTTTATAAACTATTCTTATATTTATATATTATAAGAAAAAATATCCTTATAATATTTAACTCTATATATATATATATATATATATATATAAATATATTACTGTTTGCAGTAGATAATAAAAATGTCCTTTCGATAGGTGTAGATGAAGAGTTTGAAGGTGTCTGAAAAGGAATCGAAAGAATTATAAAAAAAATTACAAAAAAATTGAACGGCAATAAAAAATAACAAGTAAAAAATAAACAACGCAAGTGAAAAATTCGGCAAAACAGCGAAAAATTTCCATTTACTTCTATCATTTTGAAATTTTCAACGGATATATTTGCTCTAGTGGAATCACATTTCGCAACGATCATATTTTCCTAAAAAAGCAAAAGGATATGATTTAGCATAAGCAAATTTTCTTACACATTTGAATTCAATTCAGTAACAATTTATGCTCACTTTTTGCGATATTTTATTCAGTGAACTAGACAATTGGAGATTATATCTAATTTTTTGAACATAGAAATTAAAACTGTTTATAGGCACACCACAAAGCTTTGATGCCATAACTAATGAAGCTCCTTCTGTAAGAACCTATAATTGAAACGACTATACTTCCACATATGACTTGCTGGAAAATATAATAAACAAAAGGTTCCTGCGAACAAATATTTTAAAAAATTTTGCCAAATTAATTAATAAAAATCCTTGTTTTTTTAAAAAATATAAATAAATAATTTAGAAGACCATTTTTTTAAAAAATAGATGACAACAATTAAAGCAGTAGAAATGAACCATAAGCGTTGCATGAAAAATTTTCTGTTTATATGTTTCATTGAAATTCGAATTTTCCAATAATAATGTTAGCATTTTATCGATTTCATTCATTTTACGTGAATTATTCACCATTAATTCTTCATTTCGATCTGAACTATCTTTTCTTTTTTTACTTTTATCGAAAAACATTTCTCAACAATTTTCCGAAACATTATTTTTTAACTAATACCTCTGGTACATAATTTTTTAGGCAACTTGCTAGATCCAGTAATTTGCGGTGGAAGTATCCCACTAAGAGCTATACGAGCACGACTGACATATGTATATACGGTTGATATAGGCAAATGATTCAAATATGCAGCTGCACTGATTGTTTGTTCACCACATATCACTCTATAATTTTATTTTTTTAATGAAATTCTTTTTCGTCGCATTTCAAACTTATAATAGATTTATTCATTTTTTTTGACGGACACAACTATGTAAAAATTAAATCAAGAAGTTACTTCATCTTCACTAAAGAGAAAAAACAAAAAATTCATACAATAAAACAGCCTTGCGCAATGCCTCTTTTGAATAACTTGGATAAACTGATGCTTGGCAAACAGATGCCACACAATTCTCAATTTTTTCTTTGCGCTCATGATCTTTGGGATCTAGTGGTAATCCGACTTCACATCTGTTCTTGTCAGCGATTTTGAATTTTGACCACTGAATGATTCTGCAATCCTCTTCGAGATTGTTACCACAAGATTGTCCTAAAATTAAAATAATAATAACTGAAATACAAAAAAGTAATTTGAAATGACAAATGAAAAAAATTTAAAAAAAAAATTTCTACAGGAAATTTAGGATGGAAAAAATTTTTCCATAAAAAATAAAATATTAGAGAAAATATTTTCCAACATTACCATCATTATCGTTAAAAATAAATGTTTCAAAAAAAAATAAATACATTAAGTATAATTATAAAAGTAATATATTTTTACATTTTTACTGTTTTTATTTTTACAAAACGTCAAGAAATAAATTCAAATAATAACCAATATAATATGATTATGAACTAAGAAGAAATAAATAAAAACCTGATTTATCTTTTTCATCAACAATTTTTTCAACCATTTGATTATACGCAATTAAACAGTCATTCAGAAGATGGTATTGATAGCAAGCTTGCTGAATATATTCAAAATAATAAATAATCAGATCAGTTTTTCAAGTTTCAAGTTTTTCAAAAACCTTAGTTACCCCAGATAAAAAATTCAATAAATTTAATTTCATAAATTCAATGGTTTTTAACTAATAGCTTCAAAAAAATAAAAAATGTGGCCAATCTTTAAAAAACCTCAATCGTAAGTTTTTTACGTTGAATGTCCATTATTGCCCATTTCAATCGATTTTTAACATCATTTGGCGCATTACTAAAACTCAAAACAGCAGCTATCGCATTACGAATATAGGGACTATTGTCTATAAAAACATGAAAATAAAATTAAATGAATGAAAATTTAAGTATTTCGTCCAATAAACAAAAAAATGCTTACATCGGAGATATGAATAAAAGAAATAAATTACTTTGAGTTCGCCTTGAATTTAAATCATTGTTATCAAGCGATGATGCTTCTGGCGCAAATATTTGCTCCGATGATTTGTTCGGCTGAAATGAGACAATTTATAAACAATTCTTAACTGACGCAAATTGTCTCCTATTGACATCTACAAAAACGAAAATACATGGATTAAATAAATGTTTTTAGAAGTATCAAAAAATTCATCATAATTCTGTTTTTCGGTCTCTGGATCTAAGCAGAAATACGGTTCAGGTATGAATCGATGAACTGATTTCGGCTTGCGCTTTTTTGAACCTGTGATTGTTCTGACCAGTGATTTTGAGCATGAAGCTAAAAAACAAATATTCTAATGAGAAAAATCAGAAAAGTTTCAATGATATAATATAAAATTTGAAATCTGATGATTTTTTACCTTTGTTAATAAGGCATTCACAAGAATCTACGCTGACTGAACTCAGAGCCAAATTTTCCCTTGGCGCAACAATTTCATTTGCTGACGAATCATCATGTACCAATGAACCGAATAAACTTAACTAGAACTAGAGATGACTGAACAAAAATAGTTAAACAGAAATTTTAAGCAGAAAAATAAGATTTTGGTACGAATATTTCCATTCTACAACAAGCGATGAAAATCGGAAAAAAATTAATAATTAATATAAAAAATAATTTTTGTAATAAGAAGTATAAAAAGAAGCATAAATAAATGAGATACCGAAACGGGTATTTCAATCTGCTCGGCAATACCACTATCATGATCATTCATTAATTTCTCCATATGCAAACGAGAACGATGAAAATATACTTGGAGAGTAGTGCAAGGTATCTGAAACGTTTTCTTCGTCAAAAAAATGAGCAAAAAAAATTGGAAACGGTCTTTAGGTCAAAACAGAAGGAAAAAATCAACATCGATGTAAACCATAACATGAAAAGAAAAGAAAAAATTAACCAGCTATCTTTTTTATATTCAAAGAATTTGATTATTTCATTTTAATACTTAAGAAATGGAAAAATATATGACAGGAAAACCACTACATTGTGAGTGATAGCAGCTCCTTTAATCGTTTTTTTACCACTAAGAGCATCCATAACAGCTAAAAAAAGTCGCTCTTTTCTTTCTGGATCACTATATTGACAATTTGATAACGCATAACGTATCGATTCTTGCATTTCTAAATTACTTAATAAAATAGAATTTTTAAATAGTTCATTTTAATTTGATTTAACTAATTCAGCTAGTTCATTTAATTTGATTTAACTAATTCAGCTAGTTCATTTTAACTAGTTCATTTGATTTAACTAATTCAGCTTGATTTAGATGAATATGAATGATAAAAATAAGTGGTCTGAGGCTAATTTAGGAACCGATTTATGGATTTCGTGGGATACGTCAATAAATAAAAACATCCATTTAATACGCTAAATATAATTCATCACGAGGATAAAAACTTTTTTCACTTCAATTTTTTGCACAACTTTGGGCAGTCCTGGACAATAATAAATTCATGCGATGGCTGTGGAAATGAAAAAATAGGTTATAAGATTAGATTATTTATTATAAGATTATTTGTTGAGGAAGTGGTAAAGAAACGAAAAATTGACGAAGCAAGTTACTGGCAAGAAAAGAATAAAGGGAAAGAATAAAGGGATAAAACAAAAGGGATATTAAACGAAAAAGTGGGAGATTGAAAGGAAGCAAAAAACCAAATATATACAGTCTTAAAAGGCGAAGATTGCATGAGCATTCCATAAAACTGAAACATACTTCTTATTCAAGTGTTTCCACAAATTTATTTAGGAGGATTTCCCGTATCAAACGAATACGCTTCACAAAGAATAAAGAAAGCCAAAAACCATTCGCCGCTTTCCCACTAATATTATTTTGAGCAACAATAAATAAACAAACTTCGACATTCATATTTCCATGCCTCCGGTAATTTGATAGGCTTAAACGGCGTAAAACGAGTATGCGACTGTTTTCTCTTTTTTATTAAATTTTCATCACCCAGCAAATCTCCCCTTAGTCGTTTCATTTTTCTGCAAACTTCAGTTTTTTGCCAAAGCGAAACATTATTGTTTAATAAATATGTTCAGTATAAATATTAATTATTTTTATTAGAATATTAATAATAATAGAAATTAAATTAATAAAAATATTTTACAATAGTGATTTTTTTAAAAAATGAAAAATCGAATTTTTCGGGTTTTTCGGAATAATTTCTATAAAATAAATGAGTGGTGATTTACGCTTAATTCATTAGAACAGAAAAAAGTTTGCTAAAATTAAAAAACTATAAAGCTATAAAATAAGGAAGAAAAACGAATTACCCATTAGAGATATTAGAAAACTTCATTTGTTTCTCAATTTTCTAATCAAAGACCACTAATGATAAAACTTTGTTGGAAAATTTCTCCAATGAGGTAGCTGAAACGAAAAAATGCTTTAAATACTTAAAAACATGAGAAAAAATTTTCTTAAGAAAAAATAATTAAAAGAACCGAAATGAAATTAGTTGTACGATATTCTTGAAATTGATGGGAGACCGATGCGATAGTTAGTATTCGCTAACTATCAGCTTCATATTCAAATTTGAAAAATTCATTGTGGTATTTAAACTGTGTTTTCCTTTTATTTTTTTGCGCTTTTATTAATTAATTATCCAACAAATAATATTTATTTTCTATATATTTCTTATAAACGAATTATAAAAGCGTGAAAACGATAGAAAATATTTATGAATCGCGTGTTAGTCGCGTGCCGAAACTGTAAATTAAAGGATTTTCGTTGGGAGCGGTCGTGGATTTTCGAGGATTCGCTCCCCTCGTTTCTCTTCAGCTCCAATTTCTCTCAAACTTTCTCAGCAATAATTAAGGTGAATTATAAATTAAATCAATTAAATTATGTAAATTATAAAATTATGTGTAAACAATTTTCTATTTTCTAGTTTATTTTTCATCCTCCGTGAGAGCTGTTAGAAGAAGAAGAAAAATTAGACATAAGTCGAACTATTTTGAGAGTTTAGTTAAGCGCTCTTCCAGGATTCGGTAGTGTTTAGCATATTTCCAAAAATATATGTATAGCAATTTTTCCGGACGCTTCCGCAATGTGTTAATTGAACCGGTTGTTTATTAGGCCACTAACCTATCTTAATCAACCTATCTTATCATTCTTCTTTGTTTTTTATTTACATTTTTGTTGTTTTTATTTCATTGTTCTGTTGTTTGTTGTCGTTTTTGTTGTTTTTATTTATTGCATGCGATTTAGGTAATTAACTTATATACATCGTTCTGTAGGACAACTTGTTGACATCGCTAAATTTTGCTGCATCTTGCTGCATTTTCCAATTTGACCGTTGCAGTTGTAATTCCAAAGATGTGGGCAGATTATCCTGTATTGTCTCTTCGTTTTTAAAGGAGATATGGAAGTGGGAATCGACCAAAAGTTGTTTCCCGTCACAGTTGATTCGCTGAACTTCGAGTTTTGAGAAAACGAGAAGGATTTTTTATCAGTTCTTATCGACATGTTCTTGTAGTCATCACCAATGCAGCATTTCTATCAAATGAGCCTGTTTTCATTTTATTCTCTTCTTGTTCCAGATAACAGTGTACAGATAATAAAATTTAGCATTAGAAAAGTCCTTGCTTTACATAATAATTATCCTTTTGCATGGCGTCAAACTCTGGCTCATTAGGTGTCTTAACTTCGATTAGAGGACCTTTCCATTACAGTTGGTTATTCCTAATATCTCCTGTTAATCTGATTGATTTTTGTTCTGATTTATTCTGTTAACTTTTTTTGGTAGTTTACGCCTAATCAGCTATAGCTGCATAAAAGTGGATTTTCGTAACCCATTTTGAATTCGTGATGAGTTGGCATTAATGGCGTTGTCGTTTTCTACTGTTTGTGGCATGTTTAAATGGCATTTGCGAAATTGACATGTGACATTAGCGACTGTAGGATCCAAAGATTGTTTCGTCATGTTTAATAAACAGTTTTTCCATTACAGTTTTTTATTCGTAATATTCCCTTTACTAATTTGATTGACCTTTGTTCTTCTTCTAATAGCTCTCACCATTATTGGTTAGACTAGCTCCATTAGCAACAAGGGTAAGACGTCTTCAAGCTGCGCAATCTGATGCCATCGTCGTTAGTTTTAGAATTCCTTTCCTTCCTTTTTCTTTCCTTTCTTTCCTTTTTCCATCGTCTAAGTCCATATATTGCTGGCCCATCTATATCTTTTCTGACCGTATCAGTGCAACTCTTAATTGGCCTCTCGCTTTTGACACCATCCTTAGTAAGTAATGTATGTCAACTCTTCTATTGGGTGACGAAGAACGTGCCCCAACCAGCGAAGGTGATGGTACTATTAATGCAAGTGGTACTTGACCAAGAATGGATGTAATCATGTACGATTTTATCTGCTCAACAATTCCGTAAAATATACCTTAGATGTAAATGTTTCGTAAAATGAGTGGTCAAAGGTAGATAATATTTTTTTTTTATTCTTTTATCTTTCTTTTTTTTAAATAATATTTAATATCCTCCACCCTCATCGGCAATCATATAGCAAGATCGAAAGAATAGCGGCTATTTGTATGCGATCTTTCGTTTTTATGTTAATTTCACGACGGCTCCCCTTAAAGATTTCGACAGTTCGAAGAACGATTTTCTAGCAAAATTGGGCACTTCCTTAACCTGCAATGAATTTGTGAAAAGAGGCATTTTATCAGCTTCTTGTACATAAGACGAAAAGGCTTTTGTTTTATTTACATTGTCTCTGAGTTACAATTAAAAAAGTACAAAAAGTTAAAAATTTTCAATAATCTTTAATTTAATAAATGGAAGATAATAAATATTTAATTTTTAATTCAATAAAGCAATTTTTGCCGCAGTTTCTGACACATTATTTAGCATTACTTCCATTATGTGATAACTATCAGCAAAAAGGACTACATCATCAGCGTATTAAGATTTTTGAAAAAATTTAAGTTTTAAAACTTAAACTCATTTGCCGATTCCTTAATTATATGAGCCCATCTTACCATCATATAAACGAATTAATGGAAATATATATTTTTCTATCGCCTACTTGTCTTACGCTATGTATTTTTTCTCACTAATTTTTTCGCTTTTTATTATTTAATGAAATTTCATTTAATCACGAATGAAATTTAATCATTTTCGAGATATTTCCAATTTTCGAAGTAAAAGGCTTTCTCAAATATTTTTGTCACTTATAATTTCACAAGCGGGTACCCTTTCGCTTTTCCTTTTAGCAGTACTAATCATCTAAAAGAATAGAATAATCGGATGAGCGAACCTAAGCCACCGTCGAAGCATTTCACCATTTTAATAGGTATTAAGTAGTTTAATAATATTATTCCTATATTTCATTTAACAAATAATTTTAACCTAACCAGCACATATATACGGTATATTACATGCATTCTTCGTAATACAGATGCCGTTTTTTTTTTTTTAAGAGTCCTCACCATTGGTTAAACTCGCTCCGACGGTTTGTTGCACTGGACAAAGATGCCAGGGAGTCCTTTGGTGGTATAACTACAGGTGAGTCGCCATCATCACTCAGATTTTTTTATAGGTTTACTCCTGCGAGGAATCGAATCTCAGTATTGGCGCTCTCAGTTGAACAATAATCCACTGAGCGATTTTATCCCCAAGCACCGCCTCATAAGATGGAAGGAATTCCTTGATGCCAAACATAACCATGAAGCACCATCTGTTGTACCTGATATGGCTAATGGTTCGCCGAATAAATAATAATAAATAAAATGATAATAATAAATAATAATGTCAATAATACATTCAGTTCAATTTGTGTTATTATGTCATTCCCTTTATTTGTTAGTTTTCAGCTTTTTGTAAATTATTTCGCTATCATAATTTCTTTCATTATTATTTATTATTTTGTCGTTATAAGCACATATGGCTCTTATCTTCCTGCTCGATTATTTAAATAAAAATAAAGTTTTTCCAATAGAAAATAAGATTGATGGATTAGCAAGAGTAGAGAATGGCTCGATTTTGTCCGACGCAGGGGCAAAAGCAAAGGGGGATAGAATTACTCCGTGGGATTGTTGCTTGTTTCACTGCATTGGTGCTATCGTGCTGAATTTAAAAAACTTTCTTTCTTGTTATGGTTTATAAGATCTCAACAACCCTCTGAAATTGAAAAATAATAGGGTGCAAGAAGATTGGTTCGATCTGAATTTAGTCTTACTCCATCTTTTTAGTGATCATTAAGTAAGCTATAATAAATATGCTGATAACTAACTTAAGTTAAGCTGCAAGCTAATAGCATCTTATTGGAAAGTATTCTCTACCATAGGCCAATGTGCCTTTAGTTTCTTCAGGAAGTGAAAATACAGCATATTCTGGAATCTGAAATTTTTTCTACTGTATCATTTTTATATTTTTTTGGTTTCAGTTCCTCTGAATCTGTTTTAGCCAGCCAGTGGCAAGTTGGATCGGTTAATATTCCTAATTCTTAATAGTTCTTTTATTTTATCAAAAAAACTATAAACCTCTTTTTATTTATTTGTTCTAAATGTTACTTTTTCTGTGTTTTATAAATGAGATTAATTTTTTAGAAAATAAGGAATAGTGTTAAGAGATTTCGAATGTTAAAAAGTAACATTAACATAGATTTTATATTTATTAATAAAAGGCCATTTCATTTAAAAATATAATAAAACAACAAAAGTAATGAGATTTCGAAAAAAATTATAAGTTTTCAAGCCACTAATAACTATTAAACTGAAAATTGGAATTTAATTACAACTGATTTATATAATTAAACCTAATGAACATAATAAATTATTATTATAATAAAGCAAATCGAAAAACTGAAAAGATTATAACGATGAAAGATGAAAAAAAAATTGAAAACTGTAAGTATAAAAATTACAATCGAGAAAAACACTGAAAATTTTTTTTCTCCTTATGGTTAATCGCTATTATTATATAATATTTTTATAAGAAATAATGCTGATAAGCCACTGATAAAAAGACTTAAAATATGTTTTTAGGTTAATTAATGGAGTGGTTTTAGCTGAAAATTAGATCAATATATTGACAGTGAAAATTTGTCAATTATCTATATCCATACCGTTATCCATGATTAGTTTTCGATACTTTTCTACGGTACGGTACGAATTTTCGATTATATTTGCTGATAATTGTTTATTAGGGTGGTAATAAGAGAGAATATTAATGGAGAATGGAAAAGCAAAAAAATAAAGCAGAGAATGATTATGGAGGACTCCTTGGGTACGCTGTCCACATAAGCGAAAAGTGCCCACATAATTTTATCAGCTTGACGAAAATTTTTGATGTGACTAATGGTGCTTTACTTCCTTGCAACCTAATAAATTTGTGTCAAAGATATGGAAAGGTTTTAGTTAAAAATAATACTTTTATATTATCGTTGAAAAAAAAATGCAATTTTGAAATGTAAAACGATTTTATTTAATTGCATATTTGGTTTATAATAATAAGAAAAAATTATAGAATGCAAAATTTAATTAAGAAAAAAAACTTATAAAATTAATCGCCTTCGCATAATTCTTTTTAATGATTTAATTTCCACTAAATCAAAAAATATCGAAATTATTTTGAATACGAAATAAATATTAAATGAAAATTTTTATAAAATAATTCCCAAGAATTTTTTTGTATTAAAATCTATAATTGTTAATTTAGAAATGCCTAATTTTTCATGTGAAGCGATAATTTGCATTTTGCAGATTTTCCGAAATTTCTTTATTTGTTAAACTTTGTTTCAGTTTATCGTTAAATTGATTTTTAAAAAAGGAGAAAAAAGTCTTAAAAAAGCCAAATTTAAGGGAAACTTTCTAAAATTTTGTAAAAAATTTATTAAAATTTGTCATTGTCCGTTAAAATTGTTATCTTTAGAAAGAGAGAAATGGCTAAGGAGATTAAAACCAGGGAAACCTAATACATTTGCGATTAAGCAGACTTTTAATACGATTCCTGGAAGTACCACAGTTCCACTATTTTTCTTTCTAAATTTTTTTGTTCCATGGAAATCAGCCATTTACATACAACTTATATTTGCTGAATTAATTACATTATTGTCACTTCTAAAAATTTTGCAGTCCGAAGTGTTTCTTTCATATAAAACGGTACTAGTATTTGAATCGGAAGATGTTTTCGAAACAACTAATGCATTGTGAGCAATAACAATATCTCGTTTCGAGCCGCGAATTGGGCTTGGACTGTTGTTTTCAGTTGTGTCATTTCGCAATGGTCGAGATGATATGCTGTTTCGTTTGCAGTTTTCCACACTTGTTGTTGTCCGACTGCATAATAGAAAAGCAATTTCTTTACGTAGCTGAAATATTTTACTTGTCTATTTATTTTCTCTTGCTACTGCTGTTGGCTGTTAATATTTAATTAAATATCAATAATATAGGCAAGTGACAGCATTAACGATAAATGACAATCATCATTCATTATTTTCTTACCAACTGTTAATAATTAAGAGTTAAATAATAAAAATAAAATAATTAATGAGTGTGATAAAATTCAATAATAAATATATAGTATAAGTATATAAATAAAATGAAATAATAAAACAAATGATAATAAAATGCGAATATTGAATGCGTCAAATAAATTAAAAATAATATGAAACTAAAATGCGAAACAGTAAAACAAAAGTGAAGAATTTCTTAATATTAAGAATAACATTAAATTGAAATTTAAAATCTGAAATCATGAAATCAATTGGTCAATTTTATACAAAAAGTTTATATTTTTGAAAAGTTTACATAAAAATAAAAAAAGATTTGTAAAAAAGCAGCTCTACCTGAGTATTGAAGAAAAGATAAACTGTCGGATTAACAGAATTATTAATAAAAAATAGCGAAGTCATAACGAAATATGCCCATTTTGATTCAAAAATATGTGGGAGCCACTGCCATGTTGTCCACGTTAAAAGAAATACAACCGAGACAAGAAAAAACTAAACTTTTGAAATAGAACTTTATATCATACTTTATTTAATAAAAATTTCTTATAATAATTTTAAAGAATTGTGAAAGCAATTTGTTGCCGAGAAACTTATCGTCAGTGATCAAAGATGAATCGCAATCTCATTAACCCTTCTCATTTTTAGTACGGTGGGCACAAAATTCAAATTATTAAGGTTTTTTGAAGGCTTTGTATTTAGAGAATTCATTCTTCGTTAAAGTTTTTTTTTTGAAGAAGGTCTTCAGAAATAAAGGAACAACATTCTTCTCTACTTTTTTACTTGTAAAGGTCAAGCAAGATGATATTAACAATAAATAAATTGAAAACCTAAAAAGTTTAAGTTTGCGATCTCGGGTAATATGATCGTGGCGCAAAAGCGACATCACTATGTGTCACTAGGTATCACAACCTGTTTTTTATAAGAGATTACTATTTACTTATACTCATTTATCATGCAATATTGATTCCACAGAAGTTGACCGCACCTACCAAAGCATTTCATCGGCGTACGTCAACGTAAAGTGTAGAATTGATAAAAATTTTGAAAAACAGTGTATGAGTCAAAACTATGTTTTCTCCCTTACAATTTTCAACTATGCGACTGGATTATGATTATTAACATTCAAGATGTGTCCAGAGCAAAGACCACTGATTATGCTGTTCTTTTCGCTGATAGTTACGAAAAACTGCAATAGACGTTAAATTTGTGCCAATAGCACCAGCAAATTTTGACAATGCAAACGCTTTTCGTATACCACATATATACCAGATGCTGATAACAATATAAACTTGTACTTAGGCCTCAGGCTACTTCTGAATGGTAGAATTCCTTACGATTCTATGAATAGATTAAAGTAAAGCAATTAGCAATTAATGAAGAACATATTGCTTAAATGAATTTTATGAGTTTTAAATAAATTTTGAGAAAAAAAATAAAGAGGAAGCGATGGGTATGAAAATGCGCTAGCGGAGTAGATTAAGTGAGCGTATAAATATTTTGAAACGCGTTTTACTGCGAGTTACAAGATTTAAAGAAAAATTAACGGAGCCTATACTTAAGGAATGCGAACCACATAAAAAGAAAAACAAAAATAAATTGTGTTGATGGATCCAACTTTGCAGGTTTATTCAATAGATTATAAGAATAACCTGTATGAATAGACGCATTTCTTTTTTGCTCACTTGGTTTCTTGGCGGTTGTACTATATAAATATTTGAAAAACTTTCCTCCTTCATTCTCGACTTCTATGAACATTGAAATTAACATTAAGGCGCTTATAATTATGGATAAGCTCAAATACAAATTTATGCAAACTGAGAAAAATGAAAAATGCAGGAAGACTAACCTTATTTCGTATTGTCAATTGATATTTAGCCATAGCCTTACTACTCTTTCTAACTTTATAGATTATTATAGCATAAGATATTATCATCGCTACCAATGATAAGCTATTAACACACATATCAATGTATTTATACCTTAATATATTTTATATTATATATATATATATATATATATAATATATTTGATTTATGCAATAAGCGCGTATGCATTATGAATTACCAATTCACAGCGGTTTCACACGAGATAATATTTCAAAAATAAAAAAGAGTACCGACCAAGTGTCCATAGGATCATAAACAGTTATATAGAAATAAGAATTCCATAATGTATTGCAACACGGAAATAATGATGGAAGTGAAACCATCAAACCAAGGAAATATCCTAACAAAATTATCATTAAAGACTTTCTAGGTGAAAATAGCCATTTGTATTCCATTGGATAAACTATACTTACAAACCTAAATTTCGCACTTTTAATAAAAATTTTTATTTTTTAATATAATTTTAATATAAAATATTTAATTAGAGATATTTAATTAATAATTAGAAAATATTTAATTATTTTAAAAAATTTGAGACAAATCGTCCAACTGATTAAATATTTTCTAAATTTTAAATTTCAAGAAGTAAATAAAAAGTTTATTTTCATAACCATAATCAAGAATTGCTAGAAATCGTTGTACTAGCAGCAATTAAAGTGAATTACAAATACCTTATTTGATAAACATAGGAGTTAGAAATAACTTACGAGTGGATAAATTTAAGCATTGGCCAGTTGAAAGTATTTTTCACGAAATTAATCTTAAAATAATAATAATAAACTACCTATTAAAAGCCATAAGACCAAGTTGAAGCACAGCTGTATACCAAAATAAATCGTAAAAAAAAATCATAATGATATTACGAACTGAATGAAATTCCAAGAAGGCACTATGGAAAGCAGTTGCTGGTACCAAATGTACCAAACTTATTATTGTCATAACAATATCACATACTGCTAATGATATTATAAACCAATAACTAAAATTTTCAAAAAAAATTTGACGAATTTATGAGAAAATTAGAAATATTTAAATAGGTGAACAATTCCTGAGACAAAATCACGGAACGAAATATTTTTTCATTCCATAATTTTATTTATATTTTTTTTATGTATATTTTATTTTTTTCATCATCTAATGATAACGAAAATGAAATTAAATAAGAATATTTATAACAAGTCATTCATTTATTGTTTGCTTTTTGAACTGGAAAATATTAGGCTATGAGTGCTATTTGGTTAACTATTCAAATAAATGATATGATAAGCCAAAAGCAAAGAAATAGCGTATAGCTGAAGATCCGTTGGTGCTCCTCTCGCCTACTCCTAGCAAAATTTTTTAAAAGTACAAATAGCCAACGAAGCGAGCATAATAGAATTTTCCGTACAAATGGCCAATGGAGCGAGTGTAATCAGGAATAATGGGCACTTTACGACTTAAAAGCGAGGAAAAACTTTTGTAAATCAGAATTTATCCTGGTTTTTTAAATGAATTACTAAATCTTTAGTTTGATTATTCATTTTAGGAAAAAATAACAATTTAAAGATATCATTTAAAAAAATGATTCTTTGGTAATAATAAAAAATTTTATTCAAAAAATCTATTTAATAAAGATGGATTTTTCGAAAAAAATTATTTAATTTTGAAAAAAATTATTTAATTTAAATTATTATTTAATTAATTATTTAATTAATTTAATAATTATTTAATTATTTAATTATAAATTAAATAAACTTCTCGAAAGAAATAATTAATTACCTCGTCGCAGTACGCATCGCTGAACTTCGTCCTATACCGATAAGAATAAGAATATTTGATATTAGAGCATAGCTAAGCATTATTAACCATATTGTTACAACAATACAATCATCCCTTTTTTCTTCCCAAGATCTGAAATTTTCTGAAAGGCTTTTTCAAAGAATATTCAAAAAATATTGAAAAAAATTTTAATCGAAAATTAAAGTTTCACACTTTGTTTCTTGATTTTCTTTAAAAAATTTCGTCAAAAATTAAGTAAAATTAAGTAAAATTAAGTAAAAGCGAAATAATAAATGGATCAAGAATGTCAACCATATTGTCACAAATATATAAATCAGTTTAATTTATTTCGCTAATATTAATAAAGTAAATAGTTAAAATTCTCCTCTTTAATATATTAGATAATTGTTTCTGATAAAATATATTTTTAAGCCTTACTATTTTTACAAACTATTTGTCTAGACTTACAGTGGTCGGAAGAATGTGAAATGGTATGGTACGTAGGTCAAGGTGCTGAACTCGCATCTTTTTTCCATCCCAAAAGAGTGGAATTCAAATCGAATACTACTTTTATGCCTAAGTAACTCTCCGGCCGAAGGATCTGACAGTGGTTATCAGTACAGACAACCAAAAAAAAATAGTGAGTGGCGCTCAAGACAAAAGAAGGAATAAACTGGTTTTTTCATAAAATTATTGCGTTCATTTTTTTGGTATTTATTTTAAAGTAAGCTGATTAACTATTATTAAACTATTATTTTTCAGTAATCATTAATTTTTCATTCCATTCCTTGAAATCTTCCTCGAAATCTCAGTGCACAAAACACTTAATCGCTAAAAAAATTTTTCACTTTACTCGAATTAATTTAAAAGTGAAAAATAATTAATATTCAAGTTTTTCATCGAAATAACAAATACATCTTCAATTTTGAAAATTGTACTAATTCTTAATGATTATTAATTCTATATCGGTGACGTAAAATTTTTTTTAAAATATAAATTGTAATTAGAAAGATCGATGAAATTCATTTTATATCATAAAATTATGCTTTTATCATTTATCATTTTATATCATAAATTTAAAGATCTTTTCGACAAAAAAATCTTATGAATAAAAATTAAATAATAAGTTGATTTTTAATAAAAATTATACCGCGGAATGAAATTTTTCAAATTTTGAAAAAAATCTAAAAATTACACTGAAGAATTTGAAAATTTAAAGTAACTTAACTTAAACCATTTAACTTGAAATCAATTAAAATAAAAATTTTGAACAAAAAAAAAGGCAAAGTATAAATAATATTACCATTATCACAAATTTTTTTTTAAATACAAATTATTTTTATTATTTTTTGCGACTGCAGCATCCACATTTATTATCTATTCATTTTTCCCATTATATTATATTTTATATTTATTTTTCCCATAAAATTCGTTTAATTTTATTCTTACCTTGTATCATTCATATATACTTTTTTTACATTTTCACTATCAACCATTAAAGAAATCTGAACCATTCTATTCTTGCATTACAAACATTGGTCGAGTCATCGAAATAGGTAATAATTACAAATATGTATTAAAATTGTCCACCGATATATCATTTAAGATTTTTATGTAGTTCTCTCCTCGTTTTTTTGCAGTATCTGAAATATGCTCATTCATATGATTAATTTAGTTCCACTTTCATCTTATCTTAATTTAACCTATTGAATGACGTTAGACAACCGTATCTTTTCCATCATCATTGGTCCATTAATACGCTTTGGAAGATCGAAAAAAAGTGGAAAACTTATTTCGAAACAATAGATAACAGATAACTATCAACGAGAAAAAAATTCAGGAAACTGGCAAAATACAAATAATCGTCAGTAAACTGAATTGATAATGCAGTCGTTGCTTATAATAGAATTAAAAGGCAAAAAAAGTCTCTTGAAAAGACTGAAACGAAATGTTTTTAAAAAAACAGCAACAATCAGTAGAAAAAATAATGAATTTATAATCGAAAATAGATAAAACACAATAAATACTTTTCAGCAACAGAAAACTGAAATTTGATGGAGTCGAAAAACAAAGGTAATTGGTGAAAATGTGAGATGTGGATGTGGAGATTCTGTTTCTAACGCTTATTTCAAGTCATTATAAACAATATAATAGATATAAACAACATTTGCAGAATAAGAAATGTACTGAGGTATTTTAAAAATATGACCAAAAAAATTGTAATGATGAGATGAAAGGTGAATAGCGTTTCGTGAAAGGGAGATTAGCATAAACGTTATCATCAATTAATAATCTGCAAATAAATGAGCATAGCCATTTTTTCAATGGTAATTTGAACGTGCTAAGATTTTAGTAGAATCGAAAAAAAAAAATTTCCATATTGTCCAAATTGAAAAATGTTATGAAAATTGTGCAACAAAGACATTTATACTCAATGTTTTGTGCTCAAGAATAATAGTTCAGCTGATGTTTTGCTTACCTAAATGGTTGCAAACCATATTTAATAATAAATAAAATTTTCTAATGGTCTTAGAAAAGATTTATTTTTCTTTAAGAATTAAAAAGTAAATAAACGAGAATTTTTTATATTATTTTTATACTTTTTAATATCTTCATGAGGATATCTTCCAATCAAATTGCATTTTTTTTTTCATTTAAACAAATTTAGAAATAATTTTAGTGTTGATTTATTTGCATATAACGTTTAATCGAAATTTTATTAAAATTTTCGTTTTAGAATACCCTTTTTTCACTTTCGAAGAAAATTCTTTAAATAAATACATCTCATAAGAAATTTTTTTTAATTCAAAAAATTAAAAATTTTCGAGACGCTATGATCGAATGGTGCAATTAGTTCAGATTATTTTAATTTCTCTTTTAAAATTTATCTCTATTTTCTATCTTTGACAGGAGTAAACCTGTCATGAATCCGGGTGGCTGCTGTGGATCCACCTGTGTCTCAATCCCAAAGTGCTTTTATGGTGAAAGGGTCAAGTCCCTTTTACTCGACTTCTTCCGACGAGCATACTACTTCTGATGCGCTGGTACATGCAATAAATATACAGTCCACGCATAATAATAATAATGAAATTCCAAGGAACAAAGATAGAATTTGCTCGCGATAAGTGCTCAAAATCTGCTCAGGGAGATGAGAACGTATCCGTTAACACTTTGTAAGCGCGGTGAAATGCTGGCTATAGCTGCTTCGGAACATCAGAACGCGAACGCTTATAGATGTTGCAAGCCAAGCGATTACTGTCCACACCATTTCTAAATATCGCCTAGTGTGGCTTGTTTGTCGGAGATTCGTCTTCATCATGTCGAGTAATTATTCTCAATTAATTATTAAACGTGGTCCGAATAAAGATATTGGCTATGTTACTATGGTGTCTCGGATAATTCGGGGCGAAATAACGCAGCGACTGTCATGTCTAAAAAGATTCGATTCGTTTTGATTAAGTGGAAGCTAGTAAGTTATCGTATGGCACATTTCAAAGGAATATTCTGCAATATTTCGGTCATCAGTATACTCCAACTTTATGCGCAGATGACCGCAATAAGGATAAGTTCACACGGAGCTTCAACTATTAACAACATTTCTACCGAGACCTGATATGTGACATCAATTGAGGGAGACTGGAATGCGGGGGTAGGTGCCGTTACGGTGAATTCGGTAATTGGCAAATATAGCATCGGTGACCAGTGTGCCAATGGAGAACGCCTTTTTTGCTTTGCTGAAGAGCAAGAACTCTTTGTTATAATATATGCTTTCGGTATCGAAGAAAACATCTAGTCACGTGGAACTCTCTGGACAGCCAATATTCCCATCCGATTAACCATATATTGGTCAATTACAGCTGGAAAAATTCTCTACTTGGGTATACTAGTAGATAGTCGTTCTTATCGGGGCTGAAACTGGCAACCGCCATGGATCAGATCATATTATGTTTTAAGCCAAGATTCGTATAAGACTGACAAGTCGTAAGGAACAACGTCGAAAGCAACTGACCAATTGTCTGAAAAAGCTGCCAATACTTGAATGTCAGGAGATTCTGAATATCGGGTGTTTCGAAGAATTACAACGACAGTAGCACATCGGGGCAGAAATTACTATTGGAGCGATATGGCCTTGAGAATGGAGACAGCGGCTTGGATAGGTGATAATAGGAGACTGTTTCCTCTTCTTCACTATGCAACTCGAGAAGAGCTCAGTGAAATGATACAAGATATTAATGGGGCACCTACCAAAGCTATTAAGAATCGCCTCAAATAATGGAATTTTTTGATGCCAAACTTAACCATGATGCGCCATCTGTTGTCCCGAATATAACTGATTATGCAGAATATGTTCTAACCATGCTGAATTCAGACCGGGACGCGGTTGTGCTGACCAGATATTTACGCTAAGAAGGGTAAGAGAACATCGCTTCATCGATTTTACAGCTGGCTTCGATTCGCTTGATAGAGCAGCGCTCTGGAAAGTGATGGAATGTGACAATGTTCCAGAGATCATTCGGCTCATGAAGGCATTTTATCAGCATACCCTGGCACAGGTCTGAGTATATGAGGAACTGACAGATTCTTTCGAAATAAGAACAGGTCCGTCAGGACTGCGTCCTTTCCCCTATTCAACTATGCGGTAGACTGGACAATGGGCATCGCTTGTCAGCACTCAAGAGATGTGCAAATCAGTCCAGAGCATGGTACTGCAGACCTTGAATATGCTGATGATGTAGTCCTTTTTGCTGACAGTCATATTAAATAATATTAAATAAAATGCAAATAATAATATTAAACAACAACAACTGCAACGATAATTGAACTTCAAAATCAATGTAAATAAAACGAAAATGTTTTCGTCTTATATGCAAGACGTTGATAAAATACCTATTTTTATCAATTAATTACCGGTTGAAAAAATGCTTAATTTTAAATGCCTTGGATCTACTCTAATCCTAACTGACCAGGCAAAGGATGGAATTGTAACCCGAACAACGACAGACAAAAATGTGTTTTTCCGGTTGATGAAACCTTTATGAAACCATCGCGAAATCACGATGAAGACAAAAATCCGCGTCCATATAACTGCATTTCGCTCGATCTTGCTATGTCTTGCCTGCGAAAAATGGCCAGTGAGGGTGGAAGATATTAAGAAGCCAACCTTTGACCATTCATGTCTAAGATATATTTTACGGATCCGTCGAGTGGATAAAATCGCACATGATTGTATCCATCTTCCAGCTACCACCTGCATTAATAATATTATCACAAAGCGTCGCCTTCGCTTGTTAGGGTATATTCGTCATCGTCCATCACAGGACTTGACGCATATTTCGCTACTTGCCGAACTTTGCGATGGTTGGCATCAAAAACGTGGTGAGAAAACAAAACCTGGACTAATACAGCCAGGAAAGATTTTGAACATATATGGGGACCAGCGATATATGGACTTAGACGATGGAAAAAGAAATGGCTTCTATTACTGCTAGCGATAATGTCGAACCGAGCACCTTGGAGACTCTTATTCTTGTAACTAACGGAGCAAGCCTAACCAGTGGGAGTTGTTAGAAGAAGAAGAACTGGATGAAATTGATAATAATGGTAATAATAAAATAATTAAACAATTATTATTCATTCAATTATTCATATACAATTATACAATTATACAATTATTCATTAACTCAATATTTGTGCCCTACCATTTTTTGATTATTTTATATGAGAATATAATGATGTTTTTGCATTTTTATAAAAAACTTTCTGTTATGCACCAAACACCAGAAATAAAAAAAAAAAAAAATTTGGTAAAGAATTTAGAATTTAAATCTCCTCGACAAATTTTAATGAAAAACTCTCGAGATAATTTTTCAAAAGACAGATTTCCAATAATTTTCAAAAAAGCAAATCTTTATTAATTTTTCTAGAGAAAAAAAATTCCTAGAAAGAAAAAAAAATCTTTTTTGATAATTTGCTGGAAAGCAAGTCTTTATTAATTTTCCAGGATGCGATTTTTTTACCAAAAAAATTGCCAAAGACTGAAATTCTCATTAAATTCATAGTTGATAGGCAAAAAGAGATGACTGAAATTGCAAAGAAAACTGAGAAGATATTAAAATTCTTATGGTAAAGTTTAGATTAAAATTAAAATTTCTAAAAGAAATTTATGTGTTGTATAAGTGAAAAATTGTACGAAACTAAATCAAATAGGAAATATAAATATAGAAAAATTGTCAAAAAATTCAGAAAATATTATTTCTAAAAATCATTTCCACTTAAAAAATTATTTTAGAATTATTAAAATTATTAAAGTCATTTGCCGACATAATTAATCATTAACTAGAAAGCTGCATAAGAATTGATAATCTGGGTAGTTGTCACTTAGGTAAATAACTACTCCATATGGCGTATGGATGTAATCTCTTGCAGTTTTTCAAAAAAATTATCTATTAAATTACTCAATACAGGGAAAAGAATTATTGGCCATGAAATCTCTTAGAATAAAAAAATTAGATAACCATTTAAAAATTTTTCTTATGATTTTAAAATGCTATAAATTAAATGCTATAAATATTTCCCAGTTAAAATATGCATTAAAAGTACTCCTTATTAATTCCCTTAATGATTAATGAATGATTAATGGTGTGGTCTAATCAAATTTCAGAAAGAATTTAGGCCAAATATCAAATTATTATTTAATGATTAGAGACATTAAATGATTAGAGCTCTGGTTTGTTGTTAATATACTGAGATAACCACTTGTTTGTCTTGAAGTTCATTGCATTATCTTAGGTCATTATCAATAATATATTATTTTCTTAGCCTGACTTGGTTATCTTCTAAATAAACTATATAAAAAATTATTGATAAATGTAAAAATATTATAAAAATACTCTGCTAAAATTCCCTTGAAAACCAGATTTCTTCATTTTTTGATTAAGCAACCGACATTCGATGATTAAAGGCCAATTCAATTTCACAGTTTTCACAGTTTACGATAAAGTGAGACAAACGAAAATTTGGCAACCAATCCTGAATGGATTTATGAAAGATAAAGGAAAAGCAGAAAAAGAGTTAGTATACGGGGTTTGCATTTCGGTTTTGTGCTCATTTATAAGCGTTATTGAAATTCATAAAAGATATTTTTCAATAAAATTATGGCTTTATACCAATTGTGACTCCTAATCAGTGAAATGCGTAATCAGGCGAATAAGTACATGTTTTCATTATTCCGTTAAATTTATTAATGAAATGAAGAATTCACATATGCTTAACGTTTTTAAAACTTTCTCACGTTTATTTCAATTATATTTGTCATTTAAATTTTAGATTTTATCAATAGATGCGGGAAAAAAATACGAAATTTTCTAGTAACAAGTTCATTTATCCATTTCCAAGCGCCTTAATTTATCAATGAAAATAACTAAACTAGATGATTAGTACTGTCAGAAAAAGAAGAGCGAAAGGATATCCGTTTGTGAAATTGTGAAATTAAAAGTGATTTTAAAATATTGTTTGAAAATATTGTCCTTTTATTTTAAAAATTGAAAATATCGTGAAAATGATTAAATTTCATTAAATAATAAAAAACGAAGAAATTAGTGAGAAAAAATACATAGCGTAAGACAAGTAGGCGATAGAAAAATGTGTATTTCCATTAATTCGTTTATATGATGGTAAGATGGGCTCATATAATTAAGGAATCGGCAAATGAGTTTAAGTTTTAAAACTTAAATTTTTTCAAAAATCTTAATACGCTGATGATGTAGTCCTTTTTGCTGATAGTTATCACATAATGGAAGTAATGCTAAATAATGTGTCAGAAACTGCGGCGAGAATGGGACTCAGGGGCGATGTAAACAAAACGAAAGTCTTTTTGTCTTAAGTACAAGAAGCTGATAAAATGTCTCTTTTTATAAATTCATTGCCAATTGAGGAAGTGCCCGATTTTAAATATCTTAGATCCACTCTAATACCAAATAGCTAGGCAAAAGAAGAAATTACAACCGGATAATGGTAGCTGGAAATGCTTAACGTTTTTAAAACTTTCTCACGTTTCTTCTGATTGACGAAACCTTTATGAAGCCGTCGTGAAATCATGACCACTCCTTCCTTTGACCACTCTTGTCTAAAGTTCATTTTACGGATCCGTCGAGTAGATAAAATCGCACATGGTTGTATCCATCTTCGTTCAAATAACATTTGCATCAATAATAATTATTACAAAGCGCCGTCTTCAATGGTTAGGGCACATTCTCCGTCGTCCACCATAGCAGTTGACGCATGTTTCGTTATTTGCTAATCTTGTGATGGATGGCGTCAAAAGCGAGGTGGACCAGCAATATATTGACTTAGACGATGGAAAAAGGAATGGCTTCAGTTACTGTTACTGTTTACTCTTGTAGTTGGAGCCAGCCTAACCAGCAATGGTGAGAGCAGCTGTTAGAAGAAGTGGCAATACATATATAGAAAAACAATTACTTCAAGAATCATTTAGCCAACAAAGATAAATACTCAGGTACAATTCTGCTCATTAAAAATTTATCTGACCAATGAAGAAATTTTACAATTTGCAAAACAGTGAAAAATAAATGTTCGCAGATTTCTGGAACAATTAATGATTAACAGCAGATGATTATGGTTTCAAATAGTGCTGAGAACCTAACTGTACTACTGTTCTAAAGTAACTAGAGGAATAGGCTCATGAGCCAGTGGAATTTATAAAACCAGAAATGGTAAGTGCCATTAGAAAAAGAAATTACGATGCTGAGCGAAAAAATTTCCAATAAATT